TTTTCCAGCATGGACTAGGAAATTTTTCAACTCGGAGGCACATCCGGATTGGTAACTCTTTATTAGTTCACACTGTGAAAATTTCGACTCATTGCAGCAACTCCAAGGTATAGTCTTATTACTGAAAGATTCGAAATCAGTGGGCGAATTGATACCACAACATTCCAACTAGAAAGAAAAATTGAAATAAATTATGATAAATTTTAAAATTTTCGAAAGAATAGAAAAAAGAGTATTATACTTGTAAGTGAATATAATGGAAATCATAATATGTATATATGTAACAATTAGTTGTGTTTCAATAATAACAAATAGGTATTTATAGAAAAATAAAAACAGATATATGTCAGTCCAATATGTACAAGTTCGTATACATAATTAAAATGTTATGTATACGATTAAATGAGTATTATACTTACATTACTCTGAATAATGTCTACAATCTCTTGCTGCGTAGGAGAATCCCAATAATGTTTGAATACTTCTGAGTAGGTAGTCTTAACATTGAGATTAGATTCCCTGAAGACTACGAACGCATATATTGCTATGGCAACTTGTACTATAAATATCGTTAACAGGAACGATGCAAACTGAAAACAATATTTATCACGTCTTATTAAAATCCGTTAAGATATATTTGATCTAAAATATCGAGAAAAACAAATTAAATACTCACAGTTATCGTCATGCAATGGCTCTCACGTATCGCACCGCAACATCCGAAGAATGCGATGACAAAAATGATGCTACCAACGACGATGAATGTCAGCGAAGGGACAGTCACATTATTTTCAATAGCTTCTTTGTAATGATTAAAGTTTATTTGCATGAGAATACCAATTACAAGAATAGCTAGGCCGCATAACTGAAACAACAAATTTTATTCTTTCAGTTTATGAAATAAATTCAGATATATATATATATATATATATATATATATATATATATATAATAAATATAATAAAAATTATAAAAATAAATATAAAAAAAACTTGTGTGTATAAATAAATCAATTTAATATAGAAAAAATAATAAATATTCGATTTATCGATATTATTATTTAACTGTTATAAAATAAAATAATATATTAGAGATAGACGTCAGACGAAAAACCATTGATCAATAAATTCAAAATTCAACATCAAATATTGATTTTTTTCTTTTCCTGAATTATGAGGTCACCTGGCTTACGTGATAACGCTAAATTTTTTTCTAGAACTCTTGAGTCACCTCTGACGTTACGTTACATTTAATTAATAAATATAAATAAGTGGAAAATGGTATTGTTTTCATAGTACATATTTACGTGAATACACGTGAGACATCCAAACAAATAAAATTAAGTAATTGGCCGAGAACAAGGTAGAAAAATAATTACAAGGAAATTGTTTTTACAATTAAAAAGATATCATAAAATTAATAAAAATTGCTCAAAAATTCAATGTAAACGATTTTATTTTGGAAATCTACGATTTTTAGAATGAACGAATTTATTGAAAGGATCTAATGTCAAATAAAAAAAAAAAAAAAAAAAAAAAAAGAAAAAAGAAAAAAAAGAAAAAAAAGCAACGTCAATACAACAATGTTTTCCAATAAATCGATAGAAACCTATCTATTGCGATAAAATTGCAAAGTTATTTTGTGATATATTGCCGCATTGAATTATCAAAAAAAAAATAAAAAAAAATAAAAAAAAAATAAAAAAATAAAAAGTAAAAAAATAAAAAAAAATAAAAACAAAAAAGAAAAAAAAAGAAAAGGCAACATCGTTGGAAACTTTTCATGCAATCATATTGTACTAACGTTCTAACCTACATGTATCTCGTGTGGAATAATTTACGTCGAGATTATCGCAGGTGTATGAACGCAAGGGCGACTTATTTGTCCTTGAAATGTAACAAAAGTGTTTCTTCAGTATTTCTAAGCCCATAGTCGATCATTCGCGGCATATGTATCTCGAACATATTTAAGTTTTATAAAACTATGACGACTTTGAAAGAAATCACGTAACGATCCGGAATCACGTAACGATCCGTCAATATCCAATCAACACACTTTAATATTATAGGTAGTATAAATAGTATAAATAATATGTATATATATATATATATATATATATATATATATATATATATATTCGTTTATAATTAATGAATAGTGTTAAGATGTTTATATCGTATATCATAGATCGTATGTATAAATCGATAAATGATTAAAACATACATATATATGTGTGTATTTTTAATTTTCATGTTGTAAGCATTGCTGATAGCAATAAAAGCGAAGTCGTTATAAAGCGTCATACGTAAATACTTATCTTCTGTAGGAAAGGCGATAACATGGTACAAAAATATCAAAGAGAAAGGAAACTGATGATATCATATTTCTTCGAAATTCATTTCTATAACAATTCTGATTTCCAGCAAACCAGGAAGGCCACTCGAATTCGTACGTTTAATAACAAATCTCTTAGAGAATAGGAAACGATGATGTCATACATTTTTTTTTCTTTCCTTTTCTTTTTCCTTTTCTCTTTTTTTATATAGAGATACAAATAGATTTATTTCTTTTTTATTTCATAAATTATATATATTATTTTACACATATAGAGAGAGAAATTTAATCCTTTAAATGTAAGAATTTTGATTTTCATTGAGTTGTCGAGGGGGGGGGAGAGAGAGAGAGAGAGAGAGAGAGAGGGAAGACAGGCAAGTTTAAAAATTATTCGTTTGATAACAATCATTTTATTCTTCATATTGTTATCTACGTTTCTTAAAGCCTACGCAAATTATTATCTAATTATCTTTCATTTCAAACTTCCTTTCGTGACAATTCATCGCGATGTTAGTAACTAACTACATGTAAAACTATTTCTGTTCTATTCAACTTTATAAAGCAACGGAAAAGAATAGATAAAGATAAGAGAATGACACGTAACAACATTGAATTCGCGTTAATTCTTTAATACTATATATATATATATATATATGATATTATATATATAATTATTATTATTATTATTATTATTATTATTATTATTATTATTATTATTATTATTATTATTATTATTACTACGTTGTTTTAAAATCATGACAACAAATTCACATTAAGTTGAACCGTTAAAAAGTATGAACTGTTTAAAAGTCTATAATAAATATTTGAGAAAAAATGTATAATAAATATTTGATCGATTCAATTTGTAAAGTTTGAACCGGAGATTACGATATGAAAGTCTAGCAATTAGAAAAGAAAAAAAGAAAAAAAGAAAAAAAGAAAAAAAGAAAAAAGAAAAAAGAAAAAAAAAAAGAAAGAAAAAAAAAAGAATATTTTTAACGTAGCTAAGTTACGTTATATCTTGTTATCAATGTATTTCTTTACTTTCTGTTCGATTAGATATACTACGTTTTGTCGTAGATAATCTCCATATATGATCATAACCAGTAAAAATTTCTATGCCGTAGAGATTGTAAAATACAATCCATTTCTGTTAAATCCATATTATACATAATACGTTAAATATATACCTAACCTTACATTTATTTTGTTTAAGAATACATTTTGAAAGACATATATACGTACCGAGAATATGAAGTTAAATATAAAAAGAAGATATTTTATTAATCCCAAACCGCAACCCATCTTGTAATTTTTCTTCTTTCCTTTTTCTTTTTTCTTTTTTCTTTTCTCTTTTCTTTTCTTTTCTTTTCTTTCTCTCTTTTTTTTCCTTTCTTTCTTCCCCTTTTCGAATTCAAGCAACAAAAATAAATCACTTCACTGGAAGTGTTTACGCGAATAAGAAACTGCGTTCAACAGGTTATTCCGGGTTGCCGAAGACGCGCAATAAGAAGTATCAAACACGACGATAGAAATTCAACTGAACGATCGTTACCGCTATTCTGTGGTCTTCTTGTGAACATTTACGTACCAGCTTATCCCCACCCCTCGTTGTTCATCCCATCTACTCTAGTCCATCCTCCCTCCCTTTTTCTCTCTTTCTCACCCTCTCTCTCTCACTCTCTCTTTCTCTCTCTCTCTCTTTCTCTCTGCATGACTCACGCTGTTGTTCAACTCGTTTCATGCGCGCATTGAATCGAGAGTTATCTGCAACTTGTATTATTTTCTTATCCCCAGAATTCTTACAATTTTAATGCACAATATCGTGAAATTATTTTCTTCGTTGATTTTTCTTTTTTTTGTTTTATTATTTTTTTTTTATTTTCTTTTTGTCTTAAAAACCATTTATTCAATTGCCTCGATCGATTTTATCGATCTATGGAATAGAAACTTAATAATCTAATAACAAAGAGATCGATATGCTGCCGATATAAAATATGATTGATCGATATTTTTCCATATAATTAACTCGATATTCTAATATTATGAAAAATTAAATAATAATAATAATAATAATAATAATAATAATAATAATAAAATCATTTGTATATCATATCAGATAGATATTTCAACGAAATCATTTATCTAAATCTTTTAAGATCATACATTAGATACGAAAGTTCCTGACCAAAGATACATTACAAATGGATATATTACTACGTTTAATTTCTTCGTCATTTTTAAAACAGTGACGTGCAAATCGTGTAATAAAATTTTCATTAATTTAATGCAAGACATATATCATGTCGTTTCAATTTAAATCAGACGCAACCCAGACGTATTATCAAACCTATGTTATGTTTGCACATAATTATAGATTTTGTAATGAGATAAATGGAATGTGGAAGAAACGAACGATGTTCTTTATCTTTCCTTTGTTCTTTTTTTTTTTTTTTATTATTATTATTATTATTGTTTTTCATTATAATTTTTGTACGATTATATCCAATATTTTATTATTACAAGAATATCATTGTCGTGATACGTTTATAAATATAATAAAAATCTATTTTCTCTAATCTATCATTTTATCTTATAACAATGAAAATATGTAAGAAACATTTCATTCATGATATAAACAAGATAAGAGATTACGCTGATTTTTTAAAAATTATGTTTTATTTCACGAATGTCTCCTTACTTATTTTCGTCATCGGGACATATCGTAATGAATCATACTCTATTCATGATATCTTATCGTCGAAAATCTAATCGCATTGACAAAATCTTAAATGATTCAACTTGAATGTTCCAAATGATCGAACTTATAAAAATTCGATTGAATAATTAAATTATCCAATGGATTTGGTTCTGGATACGGACAATGGCTGATTCAAAAGTTTTTTATTATTATCCGGATGATATACCACTTGTGAGGATATTCTGCGAGTCAATGCATCCTGCCTTCTTTTTTCTATTCTATTCGTAGAAGCTTTCATGTAACAGGTTGTACATATTATCAGACAAATCTGGGAAAAAAAAAAAGATTAATAAATTCGTTAAATAATATATTACAATCTAATACTAACAGACTGATAATAAACAGATAATAAACAGATAAATATTTTTTATTCACCTCCAATACTAATTTACCGAGACTAAGTAGAAACACGTGTAATAAAATCGATTTTGTTCGACTTATCATTACATGGTGACAACCTCTGCCGTATATAGAAGTACAAGCTGATTTATCGTTATTTGGCTTTAGTGATGATGTTACATCGCAACAAGACCAAGGAACCGAATTTATTCCTCGATAATCGATAGGTCCGTCTATTCCGCAACAACGAAACTAAAACAATAAAAATCTCAATGGATATTAACTATGTACGTACTTATATTATCGATATGAAATTATCCTATACAAAAATATACAATTGATTTTTTAATAAACACAGAAATAAAAAAAAAATTTATTAGGATGCATATGCATTTATTACCTTGTATTTTTAAGAAACTTCATAATTTATAATAATATATAGAAATTTATGACTATGTAATTCTAATAATTAAAAACTATCATATTAATTAATAAGAGAAACACAGATGCCATTAAAAACGTATTTAAAAATGGAAAACATTTTATCGTCATTCGTTTGCTATAATAGATAATTCGCAAACATAAAACAAATTACTTAACATTATTAACTGTTATTGGATATACCAAGCTCAAACACAATAAACATATTTGGCATCCAACGAATAATGATTTAAAGCAAACATACAATATAGACATATGTAGTTAAAGACGGATTAGAATGAGACCCGAAGTACATTCATCAAAAACTAAAACATTATAATTGTTCTATTTATTTTTAATTACGAATTAAAGAAATCGCAATCCGTACAACGAAGGAACAATCAATCAATCCATTCCTTTTTTTTTTCTTTTTCCAAACATAATCCAATAGTCTTGCCGAATTGCGAATCGAGAAAATAATCAAATTACTAAAATCAAAGCTATAAAAAAAGGGGCGAAATAGCATTCAATTAAAAGATTTATTGGATCAATCGTCGGAAGCTAGAATCCACCAAATCGTAAATGCCATCACTCAAGGATATATATATATATATATATATATATATATGTTCAACGAGATGAGTCAGGAGACATAAATAAATACACATCATTGGGACGTGATCAGGTCAGGAGCGTATACATAACCTTCAAATACTTAAAAGGCCTTCGCACGCATATATATCGACGTAAACAGTAAGACATAAAAATTTCATCATTATAAAACTTTTTATTGATACGATTTTTCATCTTGCAATTAATTGACTTTGATTAATGGATTTCCTTACGGCTTACAATGTATTACATATTGCGTCTTACATAAATGCGTGCGTAAAGAATTTAAAAGTTTTTGTATAGGAGATCGAACCAAGCCCTAACAATGACCCACATAAATTCGCTCCTGAATTCAACAATTAACTATCCAGCCAATAGCTGGAGTCCCTTGCATTTGTCACGTGCATAGAATGTGATTTAATTTCATTTATCGTTTTGACTAGAGATTAGATTTTTTGATTCGTCTCGTTAAACGAATTACAAAATTCATTGTAATCTAAGATTTATCAAGTATCTTAAATATCAATTAGTATAAACTCGATTGTGAATATTCTTAATGCTAATAATAAATTATAATATTCAGTAGAAAAAGAGTTTAATCAGATCTTTCAGATTTTAAGATCGTCCCGCCTTTGATTTTAAGGCTGTTAACCCAATGTCGTATGAGACGCGTGTGACATCAGCGACGAATGTGAAAAAAAATGAACTAAAAGTGCGTTAAGAGAATCCTGTTCTTTCTTTCATTGTTATATCGGTATGTATGATTAGATATAAGTACGTTATGCCCCTCATGCTATCGCCGCCAATAAATTAAAATTACTGAGCTGACAAAGAGACATCAGACAACATATGATTGCCAATATTAATAAAACAGCTGGTACGAAGTCAATATGTATTCAGTAAGAGAAACGAAACGTGCGTTTCTACAATAGATAGACGTTGAATGCTTTTCTCATACAAGACGTTACGTGGATTATTTATTTATTTTTCTTTTTTGCATCTGTTTAAGAAAATTCATTATATAATTAAAATGATTATGATATTGTTTACAAAAGAACTAATAGATATATTTATATCGTATAATATTAATAGTATTATTAATTTAATCAATAATATTAATTTTCCATAATATTATTGATAATTAATATCATAAAAGAAAATAATAGATATATTTACGTCCCGTTAAAAAAAAAAAAGAAAAAGTATTGTGATTCTTTGTCCTTCGTTTATCTTGTTATATAACTTAACAATCCCTAATAAAAAGATAATAGTAGATAGTAGTAGATTCGTAATATTATTTAACATTACATCATAAGTTATCGGTGATAATTATGTATTCACGGAGAGATAACATGAATAATAGTGACCATTTCCCCTACTGTATTATATGTTGTAATCATGATTCTGTATATATATATATATATACATATATATTTACATATATATTTATATTTATATTTATATTTATATATATATATATATATATATATATATATATATATATATATATGCAAGATGTGAGTTTATGTGAAAGAAAGAAAAAGGACAAACCTTAAAGGGAAAATTATTGCCAAGGTTTAGTGAAAGTCTAGATAATTAATTGTAAGAGAACGAGTTCTGTGGCCTTGAAAACAGTAAAAACCTTTGAAACTTTTTTCAAGGATTCAAGGAGAAAAATGGACCATCAAGCTGAAACACGATTATATATATATATATATATATATATCATTTTACAGATTCGACCAGGATAATAATAAATTTTAATGTTCGTATATATAAAGAATCGAATAACAGGTATCGATAATAGAGTTAAAGATAACAAACAATATAAAAATACAATTGTCTTCAAAATGGTGTAAAAGAAATAATGCGCAAGAGGATTAAAGAAAATTATTCGTTAGCTTTGAAAGAAATACGAAGTAATAAAAAAAAATCCTTGATTATTAAAATCTAACGAAAAATTGCTACCATGAGAATTCAAGGCGAAAAATTAGTTTTTTTTTTTTTTTTTACTAGTTTTCTTTCAATTTATGAAGACGTACAGTGGCGCTACTTTGCGTCCGTGTCAAACAGTCGAAGCTCTTTCTCCCATTATGCACCTACACGGAATCTTTTGCTTTATATGTGAGAGGTCGACTTCTCGAAAGAAAAGAAGCCTAACATGATCTATAGTTCTCTGGTGTAGCATAAAGATTCTTTTTTTATCCGTTTGCACCATAAGGGTTTACACCATGAATTCTCATAGTCCAAGTTTTTGTTAGATTTTAATGATCAAGGATCTACGCAAAAAATAAAGCTTTCCTGTGCGAAATTATTATCTTACCAGATTTTTAAAAATTGTTATTTTCTTGAACTCTTGATCAGGAAAATCAAATGAAAATTGTAACTATCAGAATTCATTAGAATTAAAAATTTGCAAACGTATAGAAATAGAGAACATCGCTTAAATTGTCAAATAGTATAAAGCGTTATACTATTAATTGTAAATGTGTTTCTTAAAACGGAAGCACCGATAATGCACATGCGCCAGTCGAATTACATATTCTTGGCGTTACCAACAAAAACCAATAACATTTATTAATATAAAACTAAATATTAAGATCATCGGTAATAAAATAATTAATAATGTTTCAGATATATGTTGAAATAATATTATTAAAATATTTTTACCTTCGTTTGTATGTGCTCCCATAAAGGTTGATTTTTTTCATCTGTAAATATTTTGTCAAGATGAGCAGCCGGAAGAAAATCTATTTGTTCGTGTCTGACAACAGTCCATATTCCGGCACTCATTTCGAATAAGGAAATAATCACCAAACTTGTAACAAACTAAAAATGAAACGTTAACAATTTAATTAGAAGAAAATCTAAAATCAATATTTATATATTTATATATTAATTTTATTACTAATATTGATTGTCCCTTTTGCGTAAAATCGAGAAAATGCCAGGACAACCAACCAACGGCACATGTGAAGATACCCAAAACCAAGAGAACAATGGATGGACCATAAACATTTTCAGGAGTGAGTTGTTCATATTCGTTTAATTGATATAAAAAAAATCCTGCGAAGGCGGATGTTATTATTCCTGATATCTGTAAACAATAACCGGATATGAAACTTTGATTAAAATAAAAATATGATTTTAATGTGAAAAAGATAAATTTCAAGAAAATATATTTATACGTTGAAGAGTATCATTTGATTATTATTGAAACTATTTATTATCGATAAAATATATTTTCTCGATTATATAATAAAACTTCAGTGATATCAATTATATACTATGTACGTATAGATATATTTCTCTAGCATTAGATAAAACTCAATGTGAAAGAACATAGAAATAAAAAAAAACAAAAAAAAAAAAAGAAAATGAAAACAAATTCATTTAGACAAAGATTATCAGAGTGATTCAAAGAATTGGATAATTTCCAACATCGCAAGATAACTCGGCAAAATTTAGAACGAAGAACGTGTATTAATAAAATAACAGAAGAAAAAAAAAGATCGAGCAACATTATGAGAGATAAGGATTGATAAATCTTAAAAAGAGATAAAAAATACAAAGTTAGAACTAACAAGTATCTTAACGATTCCATCATCTTGTTACTATCAAAGAAAAGAATACATATATAAAAATTGATTAAAAAATTGATCGAACGATCGATCAATCGATCAATCGATCAATCGATCAATCGATTAATATTAAAGGACGATAATCGTATTTATCGTTTTACTCAGAACATCTATGATAACTAAATAATATTTTATGGATAATTAATATCGTATATAATTTATGGAAAAAAGAATATTTCTTCGTTAGAAATAAGCTTTTCAATAATATTGACAACAAACGAATGACAATTATTCATCTCAACTATTTCGATGACCTTGCTTTTTTTTTAATTCTTTTTTCTTTTCTCTTTTCTTTAGCCGCATTTATCTTGCGATATTATTTTTCAACAGTATTACGTATATATATATATAGGCCATGAAAAATATTCGAATAAAAGATTAAAGAATAAAAGGAATAATAGAATATCGATAAGATCACATCGGATATAGAAAGATGACATTGTTAAATTTTCAAAAGTAAATAATTAAAAAAGTTCGAAGAAGAAGAAGAAGAAGAAGAAGAAGAAAAGCGAGCTAAGAGGGAGCATAACAACACTTACGCCAAGAACGATAGTACCGGCGATTAGAAGATATCGCAAGCAGCCGAGTGCTCGTGCCATTTCACCATTTCACGTTTATAAATATACGCGCGGTAGAGACGAAAAGAGATCGAGATTGAGCGCGCGCGCGCGCGCGCGCGATACACATACACGTAAATACGCGCGTGCGGAAAGAAAAAGAGAGAGTGAGAAAGAGAGAGAAAGAGAAAGAAAGAAAGAGAAAGAAAGAAGAGAGAAAGAGAGAGAGAGAGAAAGAAAGAGAGAGAATTACTTATGCATGTGCCGCCGTTAACTTTATCCGAACTCACCGTCGTTATCGCGAGGGCGACACGATCACAAAAGAAACGTTTTCTAGAAGCGCGCGTCTTTCGATCGTTCGAAAGTCTGATCAGTTTTAACAAATCGAGCGCTAACGTTGAATCTCTTATCTCTAAAGTCACCTCCTCTTTCAAATTTTTATATTATGTATCGTTGCGATTTAACTTGAACTTTGATTATTTTGATGTTTAAATTTCGCGCGTAATACAATATTTATTCGTAAAATTATCGAATATTTATCGATTGGTATAACGAGTTTAAGAAAGTTAAATCGACGTGCATACACGACGATGTCTCATTTAACTGTAATACTAAATATCTAGAACAAAACTTCGCGTTACTATAGCAAAGGCACAGGTGTTTAGGGTTTGACCCTCTCAACCCTTCTCGTTACGCTATGACCACCAACACCATTCGATCAATATGCAAGGTGTCCCATTTGAATTTATCACTTTCATAACTATACCTTATTTTTTTTTTTCTTTTTTTTTTTCTTGATGTTTCACTTGCAAGAAAAATAGAAAATGTTTGAGTATCAATTGGAATATTTTTTTCTATATAGTCATGTAATCTTTAATATCCTAAAAATAAATAATCTATCCTGGATAAAAGATCTTTTTTATATTATTTTTCTTTGAATCGATACAATTTCATCCAGAAATATCATTTTTTTTTTCGTATTATCGAAGAACGAAATAGAAATATTTTTAAATAAATTAGAAAAATAAAATCGAATTTAATCGTAGATCCATTAAGATCAATTCGTTCTACATACGTCCTGATATTAAAAAAAAAAAAATAAAAAAAATTGACAATAATACAATGATCGTTCGAAACTACCTGCAATTATTAGATTTTTTTCTTGGAAAACGAATTGGTTTTTCCGATTAATGTACAATGACGTAAAATTATCAGAAAGATATCTTCAAGGTAAGAGTAATACATTAACATTGCGTGTTTCATCAAGACGCAGGCGTCCATTCGACGCGACGCTATTGATTCGAATGCGCAACAACGAAAGCAACCTACTCCTAAAATGATTTCGTTTCATTAGTGAGACTCGAGGGAGTCTAGTCGAAACATTTCTATTGACGAATATCTACTTATGTTAAAAAAAGAAAACGTAAAGAAATAAGAGTCCAAAAGTTTTAAGTGAAAAAGTTCGAGAGTTCAAAGGTAATAAAAAAGAAAAAGAAAGGAAAAAAAACAAAAAAAGAAAAAAAAAGGAAAAGGTAGAAAATATGATAGGTCCCAATGTGTCTTTGTGACTAACCGTTCCGGAAGGTGGTGGTACATCCTCCACATCAACGCAAGGTGCAACTTTACGAACACCTTCCGAACACGAGCGACTGAACACGGAACTCGCGACGCTGTGTAAGGTAAAACTAATTTGCCAATTTAGATTTCTTTTGTATATCGTTTTTTTTCTTTTCTTTTATTTTTATTATTTCTTTTCCTTTTCACCTACTTTTTTTTTTTTTTTTTTTTATAAGGAATTATGAAATTTATTAGAGAAATACGTACAGGTGTATCCTGTGAGCCCTGTAACAGGGCCTGGTGCGGCAAGATCCGTATGGGAATTAAGTCCCGATCCCGACATGGTCGGGCATCTACCCAGCAACCTGCTTTCGGGCAGCACACATCAGAATCAAAATTCTGATAAAAGTACTGAACGAAGGGATAGTAATGGACCGGATGATAATATATATGCCGAAGCAACGCCAGGCCAAAGTCCAAGCGATGAAACTAAACAAATTTTTGATCTTCTTAGAGCAAGGTTATAGCGTACGAATTTATCATTAATTATTTATTATTAAAAATATTATTATCTAATGACAAACGATCGTTGTATCTTTGAAAGATATTTTTTTTTTTTTTTTTTTTTATCGAAATGATCACATTCATTAAAGGATTTTACTAAATCGTATTGCAGTGAGATTGAAGCGGTCGAGGAGTTGGTAGAGAAAAATGGATTGAGCATATTAAATGCCCGAGACGAGTGGGGATATACACCTGCTCATTGGGCTGCTTTGGATGGTAATATTGAAGTACGTGAAATAATATATTGTCCTTGAGCGTATTATATATTCTGAAAAAGATTCAATATAAACGATAATGTTACAGGTGATGAGATATCTTATAGAACGAAGCGGACCCATTGATCATTCTTGTCTTGGAACGCAAGGCCCCAGGCCTATACATTGGGCATGTCGAAAAGGACATAGTGCTATAGTCCAATTATTATTGAAGGTTTACATATGCGACTAATGAAAGACGATAATATTCGAAGATGTTTTCTTCTAACGGTTAACTTACGTTTAGGCCGGAGTTGCCGTCAATGCTGCCGACTTTAAAGGTCTAACTCCTCTCATGACAGCCTGTATGTTTGGAAAATTTGCTACAGCTGCCTTTCTTCTTGGATCTGGTGCAATGGGCCATTTGACGGATATCAATGGAGATACCGCACTTCATTGGGCCGCTTACAAAGGACATGCAGAGTTGATCAGACTGTTGATTTACAGCGGCGTTGATTTGCAGAAACCCGATTACTTTGGATCTACTCCTCTTCATTTAGCTTGTCTATCGGGAAATATTAGTTGCGTTAAGATATTGTGCGAAAAGAGCAAAATCGAATTGGAGCCTCGAGATAAAAATGGTAAAACTCCGTTGCAACTAGCAAAGAGTCATCGTCATTCTGAAATCGTACGCATATTACAAGCCGAACAAAAACGCAGAGCTAGATGGATTCCACCTATCAATGAACTCTGGTTCGGGTCTTTTTTCTTTTTTCATTTTGATCTCTATCTAATGTTTCCTAATAAAATGAAAGCTCAATAATATTTTCATCAATGACGTTTTGATAGGGCTTTGCTATTTGGAGGAGCTGGTAATAGTAAAGGACCATTGCTATTGTTTATGATATCAGTTTTACTTTGGGGCTATCCTATGTATTTACTTAAATGTATTCCATTGACTTGGAACCTTTTGCGAGGAAGTCATTATTGTTTTATTTATTGGAATATCGTTATGTGGATATCATGGATAGTAGCAAATAGAAGAGATCCTGGTTATGTACCACAAAATAGTGAAACTTATTATAGAGCTATAAAGCAGGTAATATTAATCGAAATTTCAAATATTGAAGAAATTGAAAATCTTCATTAACATGATTTAATGCGATTCTTTTCTTTTTTTTTAGATACCATATTTTGATAAATGGAAAAAAAGAAATATTTTATTATCGCGTTTGTGTCATAGCTGCAGATGTTTCAGGCCATTAAGAGCCAAACATTGTAGGATTTGCAACAGATGTGTAACCTGTTTTGATCATCATTGCCCTTTCATATATAATTGTGTTGGATTGAGAAACAGGTGAGTTAATTTATATTGTAACAAATGCTTTTCTATTTATCTTACCACATCGAAATATATCTGTTGCAGAATGTGGTTTTTCTTATTTGTAATGTGTGTGGCTATAAATTGTTCATTTACGTTGTATTTTGCGTGCTATTGTATGGCTATTGAAGGTATCCAATTGTTATATGTTTTGGGTGTATTGGAAGCATTAGTCTTTTGTGGCCTTGGATGGATACTAACGTGCACTTCGGTAATTACAATATAAATCTTTCATTGTTATAATATCTTTTCATATCAATTTGAAAATTTTATGTATTTTATATTATTTAGTTTAGACTCAAAAAATGATTTTATTTTTTAATACAGGTACTCCATGCTTGTATGAATCTAACAACTAACGAAATGTTTAATTATAAGAGATATCCTTATTTAAGAGATAAGAAAGGTAGATATCTAAATCCATTTAGCAGAGGTCCTGTGCTTAATTTCATTGAATTCTTCGTTTGTCCTCCTGATCATCGAATAAATGATCCTCAGCATTATCAAATTCTAACTGAAGATGTTATGTAATATAAATGTCATTTGTAAACTATACTTTGTATACAACTTGACAGATTTAATTATTTGATCCAAAATCTCTGCTGCCTTTTTGAACTTTTGACATAATCACATTCAATAATACGCCATTTATAATACATGTTCATATTAATAAATTTTTCTTTATTGCATCAATTTAAAAATCTGTTCGACGCTCCTTAATAAATAATTCTTTAAATACAATTGTATAGTTTATTATATATATATATATATACATATATTATATATATATATATATGTATACTTGTGATCATAAATATATTTATTACAAAATAGTATCAAGTATTTGTATAATAAAATCTAAGAAATAGCTCACGATTAATGTAATACAGAAAAAAGTATTCATCTTAGTCATTAATTTCTATTAAAAAGTTTAAAAAGGCCTCTATATAATTTTTAGCAAAGCAATAGCCTATTATACGTATAATATGTAATATACAGGGTATATCATTTTAATTTGCATAATGAAATAGTACTGTAAATAATAGTTATATAGACCTACGCTTTACTTTAACATACAAATATTTTATTATATAAAATAAAACGATCACCCTGTATATTACAAATTTATATAAATATACGTGTATAAAATTCTATAAAAAACGGTAATAATATTTTTGGCATCCCGTTATAAAAGTAGACATATGAATAAAAGCATTAATAAAAATATTAAACATAATATAATTAAATATATAAAAACTATTACTTACGTTAAATTACATCAATTTCACTACTGGCAGTTATTTGGCATGCACAATTAATATATCGTATTAATAGAATGTATATTAAATATCAATTGCACATATTACTTTAATTCGTAACAGAAGTCATAATTTGGTGGGGGTTCAGGAATTGGCGGTGGATCTTGAGGTATGTCAATTCCTTCAGCATCCAAAAGTCTTAATTTAATATCCATAGATAATAAAGTTTCTAGATCATTTTCAGCTTCTTTGCTGGTCATTCTATTATCTATGAAAAACAATAACAAGATTTGTTTAATATTAAGTAATATATGTACCATTAGATTGTTAAATAATATTCAAATTTCTATCTACCAAGTAAAGCATTAATGCCATCAGTCCAATAATCAAAAACTTGTTCATCAGGAGCAACAAAATCTAGACTGGAAACTTCAACAGAATCCAATATTAAGGAAAATGCTAATTGATGCGTCGTTTTTCTTCTTTGTAAATCTTTCATATGAGGACAGTCTCTTCCAGTTATTAAACCTCGAATCTCAACAACAGCCAATTTTGTAGGTAGTTCATCTATCGATGGTACTGACTTTTCATCGCAATCCCCATAATGTAATACTTTATGATTAGGTGATAAACGCACATACCAAAATTTATCCTTTATTCTCTAGAAATTTAAAAACAAATTAGGTTTACTAATTTAATTATTATATTTGAATATGGTCAATTTCGAATAAAGATCATTTACCTGTCCTCTGGCGCTATATTTCATAAATCTAGTTCCTTCTACTAAAAATCCAAGACGTTGTTGTTGAATTAACTCTAATATTTCAGGTGTAATTTGTTCTCTGAGCTCAACAATCGGTCTTGCGTGACTTTCCCATTCCTCGCGACTAGTCCTTTCTTGCTGCCAAAGATTAGTGATCATTGAATACGTCAATTGTTGTAATTTGCTTTTAAATTTGTCTAATCCTGTTGGTTTGCACTGAAGTGCTCTTGTTATTTGCTCTCTTACAACAGAAAATACTTTTACAAAATCTTCGATAGTCGCTCTCATTTCTTTCCATGTTTTATTCAATAAAACTATACAAACGCAATAAAATTCCTCAAATGGATGATCGTGTGTGAAGAACATAGGATGATACGATTGTCCTTGTTCACTAGGTGCTTCTCCAATACGTAACACCTTATTGAAAAAGTATGATTTGAGTAAAAAGTATATATTGTTATAAAATAAAAATAACAAATATCAATATTTTTACAAATATGTATTTTCTTATATACCTCGCATAATAATTTTACAAGTTCAACACTTGTCCTGCCAAATGGACATTCGTGTTCATCCGCTCGGCAAGAATTTTCTAAGACAACCTTTGTATAATTTTCCGTATGATTACGAGCAAAATATACCATACAATCGAGCGCTAGCATACCGGGTGGAGTTTCCGTAAAGTCAAGAGCAGGATTAATATCATATTTGAAACCTAATTTTTTATAATCCTTAGCATATAAACCTTGCTTGCGTGCTGTTACATCTGTTCCAATACCACCTTCTGTGTCAAATGCAATTCGTCTAAGTTCTTTTATTTTATCATGTGCATCTTGATCTTGTGGATCCATTTTAGTCATCATTCTCTGTTCTAAGAGACTTAAAATTTGTGTTTGTAGAACATATAATTGATGCGCCATTTCTGTACCAACCTGAAACAATAATTAGAATACTAATAGATTACCATTTGAAATTCAATTAGATTGACATATAATTTTACATATAAAAAACATATAATTTTAATATATAAAATGTCAGTACATCGTACCTGTCCACTTGATTTAATTATATTGGAAAGAAAAACATTTCGGACTTGTTTTGACTGCAATGTAGCAGAGACAGCTCTTCGTTTGGATGTGTCAGCTTTGAGAAATAAAGCGTTAATCAAAGCAATAGCATTTTGCTGTATTTGTGGACTTGTACTTTGCAAATGCATTACCAAATTAGGAAAGGTAACTTCTTTTTCAACTTGAGCATATTTGCCTGATGAATTTAAAACAATATTTTCTAAAATACTAAGTGCTGCTTCAATTATATTGGTATCTAGAGATACAGATTGATTATTCACATAGCTCGCTACTTTATTAATAAATGGTATCTCCAAAATATCCCAAGATACAATCCCATGATCCATCAATTCTACAAAGGACTGAAGAGAATATGCTAAACCTTTACGCATTCCACCCTCAACCTATACATATATATACAAAAAGAATAATAAGCATATTTTTTTTTAAATTATTATTTATATTAGTAAAGAGTTATTGCAATTGAAATACCTGAGAAATAATAAGACCCAATCCTTGCTTATTGATAAATTCTAATGCAAATGTCATATCTGTACTTAAAGAACTTAATTTATGTAATGCTGTTACATTTTCCTCTGGTGTGCCACTATTCAGTTTTGTCAATATATCAGTAGCTATTTTAGAAGGAGAAAATTCCAATCTCAGAATACTACCATTCTTTACTTCATTACGATTTTTTTCTGTAATATAATTTTGATTATTATTTTCAGAAAATTGTAATGAATATAATTCTGAATCAGAAAGACCCCATCCATTACACAGCTCCTACGAAAAAAAAAAAAATAATTAGGTAAATTAATATTTGAATATTATAAGTTATTCAAATGTTTCTTATTAATGAATAAAATTATTGATTCATTAAAATAATTTTTTACTTATTTAACGATACATACATTTTATAAATTGCATTAAGACTTTATTTACCTGAATAATACCAGTTAATGGCTGTTTCTGATTAAATTCAATTAGCTGTGGTACTTGGTCTGTCATCTGAACAGCGATTTTCACAATATTGGAATCTTTTTGGACCGGCATTTTCTCATATAAATTGAACAGCTAAATATAATCAACAATCATGTAAATTATATTTAATGCATTCATTAAGTGTCAATTTATATTTTGTATCATTAATCATGCGACTTTTGCATGACTCGTGTTATAAAAGTGACAACTGTCATTCAAAAATGCTTTTTCAATTACTGATATATCTTTGGAAAATATTCGTCGTAAAGATTATGTCATCATAAAATTGTCGCAAGTTCTACATCACTAAATGATTTCTCGTATAAAAACAAATTCACATACGTAACATTTTGTTTCATTTTAATTTTGGGCGGTAGCCATTTTATTTACGAGAGAGACAGAGAGAAAGAGAGAGAGAGAGTATAAACTGCAATAATAAAATATAACAATTAATTATTACCAGTAAATCTAAAAGAAAATTAAATTATAAAAATTTACTTTCTTACATGATATCGAATAGTTTAGACACAAGTTTTTATTATTTAAATGTTCATATAGTAAACAAACAAGGTATTGTTTAATATGTATACCTAGTATATATCCCGTATTTATCAAGAAAATTGGAAATATGGTGACATGCAGCGATATTAAAACTTACATAGAGGAAGCTTGTGTGATTGATAGTAACACAAGCGCTATCTAGCGACAGATATTGAATAACTTTACTCATTTATCTTTTTTCTTATCTTACACATCTACTTATTCCAAGTTTATAAAATATGTTTCGTATTCAGTTTCACTAAAAAGTACTGGAATTGTTGGAAGAAACAGTACATGTCATTATCTTTTACGTATATATAATCATTACAGAAGAAATAAAAAAAATTATTTTAATTATTAAACATAAAGCTTTATCATCTTTATATTGTACTATTAATTTTACATAAAGTTTATAGAAAAAAATCCAATTGATACTTGCACTTACTAAAGAAAAGAGACACACGCTCATACAGGCATTCTTACTTAAATAATTGTAATATATACAGATCTTTTTAATTAATTAAGCCTAATATAGATTAAATTGTAATCAACAGATACATTTGTATAAATTGACATTATTTTTTATCCTAATTTACATTAAACTAAAGCTTCCAATCCCATGGTATACATAATACACCATCGCTCATAACAGAGTAATAATGTGTTACCCAAAGCATTATACCGTCCAATAAGGGAGCTAATGGTTTTTTGTGCATGAGCAATCGTTCACAGCATTGTATCATCAAATCTGGTGTAATGCTATCATCTTTGTTAAGACTAATCAAGCCTAACTCTTTAATAACCTTTTGATGAAGTTCTCGTTCTACATGTTTTATACTATAAAAAAATTATGTGTTAATAATCTAGAGAATTAATTCATTATTTTTATCTATATATCATATATATATAATATATATATATTGTATTACAAATAAAAAAGAAAAATGTTTTTTCTTACTTGTTATAATGATGCAATCTCTTGGTAGCTTCGCTTAAATTTTCTGTAATAAAACTGACCAGCAAAAGACTTGGACAAGAGGATGGTACAATAAACTGTCCAGTTGGGGAAAGCATTAAAGGACCTGCTTCACTAAAAATATGAAGCAACTATTATGTTAACTATTTTTTTGTATTAAGAATTTGTATTCATAATATAGTATTACTAACGCTTCTATTACTATCTCATATGCAGACAAATTTGCTGGCCAAACATCTGGATAATGTCTCTTTCCTCGATAATCGGATAGTGTAGTCGTAAGTTGTCGTAGTTGACGTTCATACTGACCAGCCATTACTTTAGGCATGAATTTCCTGCACATATAGAGTACCCTGAGCCTTACCGTCACTCAATAAATGTGATGTATTACGCACCGTCTTCCCACTTTAATATCAAGAAGGACCGTGGATATCGCCTTTTCAAAAGCTGGCAATCTTTGCAATATAGTATCATACTTCTGTACATTTTTGATCAGCTATCAAAAACAAATATTATTGTAATAATGAATTATTATATATATGGTATAAGAAAAAAAACAATTCTTACATCAAGCCAATTATGCCTCACTTCGCCAGAGCTTAGCATCACACTTCCTTCTAAATTTATTCCAGTGTCATTGGCAAATATTAATGTCCTGTCTTTCAAAATTTCCATTGGTTCTGGATGATGTTCTGCTAATGCTTGAAAAGCTAATAAACAACCTCTATAATGAGCAATATTCCAACCACAATCCCATATAATATTTTTTAGACCTAAGTCCAAACATAATGCTTTAACCAATTTTTTCACCTCTTCTCTTACTGATTTACATGCTTCTAACTTTACATGTACTTCATTTATGTGTTTTTCAAGATATGCTCTAATTAAAATTAGATATATATATATATTATTAATTAATGCCCAATATAATTTATTGCATATTAAATGATATTTATAAATTATTTCTTACTTCAGTGTATCTGGTTCAATATTTAATTTTCTTTTCATAATGATCGAAGCATAAATAGGATCATTTTCTAATTCAGAAAAATCTATCTTTTCTCCTGAACTATATTTGCTTTGCCAATATTTTGAGTTATATGATGACTGAAACTGTGTATTCGATGATTTCTCTTCTATTTTATCCACAAATGTTGTAGGCAAATCACATGTCTGTAGGATAGAACGAATTGTTTTCCTTAAATCTTTTTCATTAAGTTGTATTTTAACTAATGTAAATTTCCCAGCCTTCAGATCTTTTTCATCTTTTGAACGTAAGTAAAATGGCAATATTGTAGGTCTTATAGGTCTTTGCTGCTGAAGAGTTTCTAAAATCGAGCTTAGCTGTTTCAAAGAATTTTCATTTACAGTCTAAAGTAAAAAAAGAAAAATCTAATTAATATAAATGAAAGCCCATGAAAATATTATATAGAATTTGTTACAATATAATGAACAATTAGAATAGCATATGAAATTTATAAAATTGTTTATATTCAATTGTCTGTAGATGTGAATGGTACAAAAAAAAAATAATATCTATTGTTCTCTATTTACCCTTTGTGTGGGATACTGCCCAAAAAGATCAGGATGAACAGTAAAATAAAAAGGTCTAAGTGCAGTGGATACTTCACCCATACTTAAAGCTCTCACTGCATCTGTCCTACAGAAACTATTAACAAAATTTATGTATTAATTTGTCAATGATCTTCTACAACTTATATTTCAAAAATTAATCTTTTGATCATATTACCATCTTGCTAATTTGCAATACATATTTTTAATTTAATCACCGCCGTGACGTTATACAATTCATCTCTCAATAGAATTTACCAACTAAAGCGGAATTATTATTGTCATCACTGGTTGCATACATAAAAAAGAACTTGCCAAGCGCATTGTACTTTAATTCCGCGCGTGCGCGTTAGAGCGTTGCGTACATAATATACAGAAATGGTGTACATGCATATACGGATTAAATATCACGTGCTATGCACGTTTTCGCCCACATTCAACGGATGTAAAATAAAAAATATAAGAAACAAATGCCAAGGTTAAAGAAGAGGATCATAATATGTATATGTATACATATAACTAGGGTCTCGCGCCATCTTATTGGTTTTAAAATGGAACATCCAACCACTATAAGCGTCCATGTTTGATAACGAATAAAAATTTTAATTTCATAAGATATTTTGCAATTCATATAATATCTATGGATGTTTGTAAAATAACCTATCGTTGAACTTAACAATCGATATGATATATTTTATAGTAAGTTCAATATTAAATCTGATTACTATTTTTCGATCGCATCATATGCGATTTAGCGACAAATATGGACAAAATATGAACTACAAGAGCTTAACATTAAGCTCCTATTGCATCGGTGTATAAGCTTGTTTGGTTATGTTAATTTGACGCTTAACATATCATACTTCTCTGATGATAAATTACTTTATATTTTTTATTTTGCATTAAATTTACATATACAGCTAAAGCTTATTTAAGCAGGAATTAATTCGATATTAATTACGATGAAATGCATATCATAAAAAAATTGATAAGCGTTACACCTAAACTAAAATCGTATATTGAGATACATAGCTGTATCGTTACTATCATTTACTCGTATGATAAACAGAAATTTATTTTTACTAATATTTTTTGTTATTTTTTCTTTTTTTTCTTTTTTTTTTTTTTTTATAAAAAAATCGCACTATAAAGTAATATTTTTTGAAGAATAGTTTATTCATAAAAATAAAGCTTTTCTAAAAATTCAAAAAAGCAGGATTCGTGCTTAAACCTTCTTCTTTAAAATAAGATCTTATTTTTCAAAATCGTTCAAATATTACATTTGTATTCATTGTAAAACATTCCAAAACCAAGAGTAATGAACAGTTAATAGTGAACAAAAGTTTGAATTTCATTAAAATGTGTAATTCATATGATATTTGTAGATATTTGTAAAGTAACCCATTATTGGATTCTTTGATCGATGTGATATATTTTATAGTAATTTCAACTTTAATTATTAAGGTTTTTATATCATGATATAAACAATCATATCAGTAGTAATAATAATAGATACGATCTATATGTACTTATGTTAGATAATTAAAAATAAAAATTATTATTGCGAGATTATACAGCATTACCTAAATAGTACATATCGATTAAATAAATTTAAATACAAAATATTAATTTAATTTGTAATATTTTCCATGATCATTTAGGTATTTGTATTATTTTTCATGCATTTCAATAATCTAACATATTTAAACGATCTTAAGTCACAAATCATTATATTTATTTGTATACACGATTTAGAGAGGATTACAAACCATGATAGCAATAAATCAATTGAAGAAACTACAATTTTTCTTAATTGGAAGCATGAAACACATATTACCTTTTTGGTAGAGGTTAATTGTGTTAATTTCATTCTAACATCTTTTATAATTTTCAATTAATATAAATCGTGCCTCAATCGATAAATATGTGCTCCTAATTTATGATAGGAAGATTACTGAATAATACTTTTTGTCACTTTTTTAAAAACAGACTAGTTAAATAACTGAACGTGTGTACCATGATAAATATTTGATATATTAATTTGCAGGAATTCCTTAATAATAGTAACATGTAGCGCCATAATCCTTATTTAGGTCCTGTTGAAAATGGATCATAACAATGAGTATCGATGTCACAGTCTGTTTGAGAGCACATCATTAGAGCTTTAAGAATTCAACTACAAAGTTCTCTATTTGCTATATTTTGAAATATTTTTTCGCTACTATTTTCATTGCTCAGTTTACAAATAATTAATAATGAATAATAGATCTCTGCTTTCATAATTTATACTTTCTTTATGAAAAGTATTATAATTGTAATTGCAAAGAAAAAAGAATCCTAATTTTATTTGATTTTTACAGTAATTTGTTTTAACAATGTTTAACGACACTTTGTAATATGCTCCAGGTATATCTCCTGTCTAAGTTTCTAAATTCGGCACATTGTTCTAGTTTTAGTAGCATCTTGAAAACTCTGTAGGCACATTCTTAATTTAACATTGAAAATGTACGTCCTTTGATACATACAATAATAGCTTATAAATTATCATATTTTTCGAATAGATATTTTTACATTACAATACAACTGCGAATAGTATAATCTTATGTGTATATTATACGCACTTACTTGCGTACATAGTCGAAATGCAACATTAAATATATATATATATATATGTATATTTATATATATACACACATATATATGTATATATATATATATATATAAAACATACACATATCGAATTAATTGTGAAGCACAAATTATATAGAGAAAGGTTCTTTGTTATTGGATTAATATTACATCTCGACCATGGAATTATTATAAGTAGTTAAACGTAATATTTGCCAGATATCATGGCCTGTGAACACTTGGGTAGTTTGGAAATTTGCTGAGCATCAAATTGTTACTCCTGCTTATATTTTGTATTATATAATTTATCTATGAATATGTCTATAGTCAATATTGCATTAATTAACACAAAAATAAGAAAAGTAAAAGTTTAAGGTAACTTGTACCATTGATGTTCCTTTGTAATTAAAAAACACTATAAGTGTAAAACATAGGAACAAATATAAAATTCTTAATTTTTTTTAGATATTTCAATTGTGCAGTAATATGGTTGCTATGGCAGCATGCTTATGTAGTAAATTGCTATTTTTGGAACAATTAATTGCATTTTGAAAAAATTGCTAAAGATAATTCACTATATTTCATAAGTTTCTATTAGTAAATATTATTATGTCGTGTGAGCAAAATATTCATATATATTGCAATTTTTTGTAGGAACTTTAAACTGTAAAAATGCAATTCCATTGCTTCATTGCATAAATGCGTCTAATTTCAACTATTGTTTAGGCAAAATATACTCATCGTTGCTCCCATAGAAACATTATTGCTGCTAAAATTAATTTTATAAATAATCAATGTGCTGCTAAAATTAATTTTATAAATAAAGTATTAGCGTGAAAAAAAAGATTAAAGCAACAGAGCGGTTGATGGCAGCATTAAGATTTTCGTTGTCTTACATTTGTCTATCGTAAACAATATCTACAAAATTAGCATTATATTTTCGGTCATATTAAATACTCAATCGTATCTATGTGCACATATACATACACGTCAATGAACGGACATGTATACATAAATATATTGGGTTGGCAATTAAGTGGTTGCGGTTTTTGTCGTTTCCTTCTTGTTTGAAATCCGGCAATCATTTAGTTGCCAACCCAATACTATTAACGTGAATCGCAAAAGAGAAAATGTATAAATGTAAATACAAAATGTAAATTCCCATTATATTTACTAACAAAATATTAATTCAAGATCAACCTGTTAATCGAGGAGATTCTCGATCAATGAACGTAAATGTATGAAATTTATTTCGATTACAAGTAAAATAATGCGGATGAAGACAGAAAATATTTTTTTAAATTAATGAATCGTAAAATAAAAAATTAGATGTATATTCTTTTAATAGTAGTGAGTAAATCAAAAAAATTATTTATTCTTGTATCACGAGAAATGTGAAATAACCTCATTCTCCACGGTTAACAGGTTATTAATTTTCCTGTATTATAGACCAGATGTAAGTATTATTTTCAGTGATACCAGCAACCGCTTACACACACATCGCTTCTTTCAGAACGTAATATTAGTTAATAAATTCGTAATAGATACATTTGATTAAAAAAAAATTAGCTAAACATAACTGCTGGATATCCTCTGAAGCAGTTAAGATCAGACCCATCCTATGCTATTCTCTTTCTGTACGCTTATAAAATCCCTCCCTGAGACACGAGGATTAGGTCGCGGATATTCAGCAGTTAGGCCAAAATGCTAAGCATAATTTTACTATTTAAGAAATGAGAGTTAGCCTATTTCTATCATTTCTGTGTCTTCCACATTATTATGTCCTACACCATTGTGCCTATAAATTAAGTGATAAACATTATATTTAATTACTTTGATTGTAGTTAAAATTGATTCTCATATTTCTTAAATTATTACAATTTTATATTATGTATATAAAGTAGTAAAAAAGGATTTACCTATGATTTTGCAAATGCGAATTATGCAAATGGAAATGTGTATTTCTTGGTGAGAAACCACGGGTATTGCCTTTGCGAGGACTTCTAGCATTTATAACTCTTGGTTGTGAATACATATCTTCCAATATACTTGGTGCTACATACGTAAAACCCTACAAGAGAACAAATAAAAAAGAAATTAATAAAAGAAAAATTATAAAATAATTGAAAGTTTTTAATTACCTGAAGTGAGATTTAGTAAATGTTATAAGATTTATAAAAGTGATTTTTTTGAACAAAAAACTTACTTGAAAGACTCTATTGGCTGATTCGCTCAAAGTATATTCTGCAGGCGAATCTATAGGAGCAGAAGTTGTAAATCTCTTGTCAAATTGAGATACATCATCTTCGCTTGCTAATATTGGCCTAAATGGAGGCTCCAATTTTCGGGATATAACATCGTTCCAATTTATATGCTTAAAAAACTGATGATTTTTTATTTGTTCTGCATCCGATGGTGCAGAGCCTAACCTTTGTGCGACTTGTCTCTATATCAAAAGTTAATATATAGAAATTATTTGTATATTATTAAATTATTGAAAATTAATTTAATAAAACCATACTAAAAAAAAAAAAAGAATAAATAAAGTAATGAAGTGTCTATCAACCTTCAGCAGCTTTCTAATTAAATCTCTAGCATCAGGTGTTAAATACTGAGGGAGATTTAATTTGCCACGTAGAATTTTTTCTATAGTCTTTTTCCTATTAGCAGATGTAAATGGAGGCTGAAAATAAAAGTAACACAATTTACAAAAACTCAGTAAACATAGAAATATAATATCTATCTATAGAATATCCATATAATATCTAACTTATAGAAATACATACAGATCCTGTAAGCATGTCATACATCAAAGTACCAAGACTCCACCAATCTACTGCTTTTCCATGTCCACTTCTCATTAAAATTTCAGGAGCCCTAGAAAAGGAACTCAATGTTAAAAAAATAACATTTCTTTCCCAATTAGATAATATTAATTTCCAAATAGATAATATTATTATAATAAAAAAGAAACTACACGTTCTTACATGTATTCTATAGTACCACAAAACGTATGTGTAACTGTTCCATCTTGTATATGTTCTTTACATAAACCAAAATCAGTTAATTTAATATGACCTTCTGCATCTAACAAAATGTTTTCTGGTTTCAAATCTCTGTAAAGCAAATTACAATATAATTAATAATATGTTTATTAAAACAGTATTAACATAGAATATGTAATCATTAATGTCATAAATATATAATACCTATAAATAATTCCTTGTAAATGAAGATGTTGCAAAGCCAATATTATCTCTGATAAATAAAAACTGTAATAAAAGTATATACATTATAAATTCAAAACTGTTTTTAATTAACAATGTAGAAACAAGCAATAACATATACTTGTATAATCTCCTACCATGCAGTATCTTCTAAAAATATTCCTTCGTCATTTAAATGTCGAAAAAGTTCACCACCACACATATATTCTAAGATCAAATATAATTTACCCCCCGTTTGGAAAGCATACATAAGATCTACAATGAATGGATGCTGCAAGAAAAATTATGTTAAATACGAATTATGTAAAAATATATTAACAAATGTAAATCTTACCTTTACTGCTTCTAAAATATTTCGCTCAGCTTTTGTATGAGCAGTATCTTTCTGATTTCTTATAATAGATGCCTTATGTAATACCTAATGTATAAATAAAATAACAAAATTTTATAGTATTGAAAATTTATCACAAAATAGAACAATACAGAGAAGTATGCCATTTTCATAAAAAATATGTAGTTTTATTATTTAAAAAAAAAAAAAAAAATATATATATATATATACATACATACATACATATATATATATATATATATATATATATATAAAGAGAGAGAGAGAGAGATAGAGAGAGAAAATAGTGGGTGAGGCCAACATACCTCACCCAAAGAACTCTCCCCATAAAGTAATGCAGATGTATTTCTAAGGGAGAGTACCCGAATGATTATGGGGGTTTTAGTGAGTAAGAAATCCATATTACCCTATTACTCATTAATTAACCAGGATGTCTTTTTAAAGATCTTTTCCACATTATAAAAAACAAAAAAGCATATATATATATAAACACAAATAAATTCGTTATATATAAATATATAAAAGATAACTTATTTTTTTTTTATGCAACATTTATTAAAGCAATAAAAATGTATAATTTGTTATTAACTCTCTTATTATAATACCACATATATTAACTATATATGTTACAAACAAAGCAATGTTTCAACTTACCTTCATAGCAAATATTGTACCACTGTCATTTCCTGTTATTTTACGTACTTGAAAGACCTTTCCATATCCACCTTTTCCAATAACTTTGCAAAGTTCAAAATCTTGTGGTCCAGCTCTTTCCCTTCCACGATTAACATTTTGTTCAGATATAGCAACTGTTTCTACGCCATCCGATCTGTTAAAATATCATTGTTATTATGTTAGTATATTAAATCGACTTACAAACTAAAAGTAAAGATCTACTCACTCAATTATCTCATTCACATTCGGATTAGCATCATAGTCTTCCTATAAAAATGTGACAATTTGATTGAAATAATAAGAAGTATGGAATGATAAAAAGAAAATATTGAGATTTGTGAATGGACAAGCAGGAAAGTTACCTCGCCAATCTCGATAACATCATCGTCGGACTCGTCCCTATTCACTGTATCCACGTCGTGTAATTCGATATCGAATACCGCAGCCATTCTGGACGCGATTGCTTTATATCAAAAGACGTCCGCAGGCTGAAGAAAATGTGAATCGTTTCGATGCAGCGTGCAGTATCTGAGAAATATTGTTGCACCTTAAATTGCAGAAACCTTGAATTACTACTACCACCTTCCTTGCACAAACTGCTCTGTCGCAGAGCATACCAAACACCCTCACTTCATCAATTCGTTGATTGGTTGAACGTCTTTGTCATCGGTTACCATCGAGTGGGAGAAAACATATTTTTGACCAATCAACGCGCACATTTAGAGTCTTGTTTGGTCTCACTACGAATCGTCTGACGTGATTGCTTTTCGCGCTGTTGCCGGTTTTACTATCCATTAACGCGGTACGTTCAAATAACATGATTATTATCATGAAATTGATCTTTGTTCCACGAAACAATGAAAGAATTAGGAAAATTTTAATTATATATGTTCTAATTCGAATCATATTCAAGTTACTATACATTAAGATACGATGATTTAGATAAAGGATAAATGAACTTGAAATTCTATCGTTATAGTTATTTCTACGCAATGTTTTTCTTTTATATTATTATTCGAGCCGAAAGAAAAGTAAAAGTTTATTATATTTAATTATTTACTTTCTATTTTAATTTTTAGTGAAAGGAATCGAAACAGATTTTAATAAGTACATATAATACGTATTATTATTCACATTTCATAAAATGATTTCTTCGAGTGTTTCAGTTCTTATCACGTGCAGATATTTTTTTGATCAGACATCATAAAGTGAAATGAAACAATAGATTTGTTATCGCTATTTAAATTGATAAAACATTTATAATAAGATTACACAGACTTCTTCTTTGTTTCGCATCGATAAAATATCGTTATTTAAATTGGAAAAAGTATTTTGTTAATATAATTAAAAGAAATCACGCAAAATGACTATTCGTCATCACGTTATAGGATACGAAAATTTTTTACAATTTTTTGAAAATTTTCAGACCAAAGAATCGGTCTTTGTATTATATACGGGTACAAAGCTTGAAAATGGTCAAAGTTGGTGTCCCGATTGTGTTGAAGGTAAAAAAAATTTCATTTTTTTCATTTGTTTTAAACTACATAACCTATTTTGTAATAAGACAGTAGTTACCAATATACAATAAATTTACTTTTGTATTATGGGTCCAATTAAAATCACTTCTATTGTTTCATTTCTATTAGAAGTATTTTAATAAATATTATATTAATTTAACATAGCGGAGCCATTTATAGAAGCTGGATTACAAGTACTCTCTGAGACATCCCATTTTGTTGTGGTTGAGGTAGGAGATAGAGCATTGTAAGTATATGAGATTTTTTCATTAAATTTCTTCATATGTAGAATTTCTAATAAATATTTGGTATTTAAAATTTGTAACCGTTACTACATATTATTTCGCGTATATTTTTTATACTTTATGATATATTGAGTTGGCAACTAAGTGATTGCGGATTTTGTCGTTTCCTTTTTATTTGAAATCCGGCAATCACTTAGTTGCCAACCCAATATAATGTTGTATAATGTAGAAATATCTGATCTTTAATTCTATTTCTAGCTGGAAAGATCCTAATTGTATATTCCGTAAAGATAGTAAAACTCAATTGAAAGTATTACCAACATTGGCTCAATGGGGAACTCAAAAACGTTTACAAGGTAGTGAATGCCAAAAAGAAGAACTTCTTAATATGTTATTCAAAGAGGAAGATGATTAAAATTGGGCTTTTTATATGATGCTATTATTATATAATTCAAAAGAGCATTGAATATTAGAATTACTTTTCTTATGTGAGAATGATTTTTCCATTACTTTCTTGTTTATTACTTCTATTTTATAAAAGAGAATCATTAAAATAATTGTATATAAGTTAATTCTTTACTTTATAATTATTTTTCTAGTTAAAATAATTTTCAATTTTATTGAAAAAATTCTTTAACACGTTCACGCCGGGGCCGATTTTCATTTGCTTTGCTATGAGGCGGCGCTTGAATTAATATCGCGCTTCATCTGGCGGCGTACTAGTTGTTTACGAAAAACCATTAAATGATACCGAAAAATAATAATACAATTAATATGCGGAACTTCCCTCGTGAATGCCTGGTATATTCATAAAAAATGGGGCACTGAAAATATGACTATGTTACGATTTAGAGAAGTTATTATCGATTACCTTTTGCCCAAATATGCTGTTATATACCGTCACGTAAACATGTTCTTCAATCATATGAAGGATCTGCAAGAGAGTCCCGTAAACGCTGCAAGGAATGCTATAAAAATATATCCAATAAAAAGGGCAGAGCTTATGCCACTAACAATACTACCAAAGTTAAGACGTATTGTGGGGATTGCAAAGGTCAGCCAGCACTTTGCTTGAAATGTTTTAACAAATTACACAAAAAACAATAAATAATGAAGTTATAAATAAAACAGTATCAGATTTTATGTTATTTTTACCGTATTTGTGTTTTTTTTTATAATATTATATTATTATGTTTATGTTATTGAACAAAACATGTTTCTGATACATTATTAATTATAATTATCATTAAAAATAAATGTTTTTAATGAATAGACGTTAAATTTTCATTATTTTAATTTTCAGTGTCTAATAGTCTAATAATTCAGAACACAATCGAATGCGTACCGCCGGTGGCCCGCGCCATCCGATGAGACGATCTAGTGCGGGTCACCGGTGGCCCGCGCTGGCATGAACGTGTTAAAAGAATTTTTTCAAGAAAATTGTTTCCCAGTGAGATGTATTTTACTAAGTGAAATGCCATGTCAGAGATATTTCAATATTTCTAAAGAAAGATAATGTGGTCACATCAACAATGACTTCATAAAAATTATTAATGCATAATTTTAATAAATAAATTTTAATAAATAAAGCATATTTTGAAATTTGTCACACAATTATAGAGTTCATTATAGAGACAATTATAGAAATCCTTAACTTATAATTGGTATAACAAATCGGAAGTGAAAATTTTTTCAGTAGACAAGACTGTTATGACAGACAACTTTCAATAGAGAAACTATTAAGACAACTTTCAATAGAGAGACTATTAAGACAATCTTCAATAGAGAGACTATAAAAACAACTTTCTAAATTTGATCTTAAAAATATTTTTTATTAATACAATTGTAAGATCCCGTTACCATTTACGTATAATTTTATTGTTTCATTGCATGTTGTATTATTATATAATATTCACATATTATTCTATGGCATTTACTCTTTTAATTCTTCCGATGGTGGTAAAATGCGTACAGAATAATGAATCTTTTTATTCCTCATGACACTATAAGTATTATCAAAGATGACAAAATCTAAAACAAAAGAAAATAAATAAAAATATATAACATGATAGCATGTAAAATTTTAATAATGATGACTCACATGTAGCTGGTTTATCACAGGTTACAACGCCTATTTCATTTAATTTGTGCGAAGCAATTTTTGTGATAGGTACAATTTCGGTTTTCATACCTGACGTATCCTCTTTCAAAACACCGAATTTAATATCATAATCTTCTGTGCGAAAATCCCAACTGTATTCCAAGGAAGTATGTTATTACATTCTATGTTACATGTATTTATTTAAAAGGTATACCTTAAAAGAGATCCCTCTTCGGATGTAGTCAAACTAAGTTCTAACTTATCTCCTTTACGGATAATGACAGTAGTATAATCCGTAGATTTATCACTTTCCATTTTGTCCACGTACATTTCTTTTGGTATTTTACCACCTTGACAAATCTAAAAAAATGTAGAGAGAATATTACAATAGTAGAGAGAATATTACAATAGTAGAGAGAATATTAACAATATTATGGTTACCTTTGTTACGAGTTTTGGATTCCCATCGGGATCTTTTAAAGTGCCGCCGAAATGAGCAGGCATTTGATCGGTTGGAACTAGTTCCAATATCGCAGGTTTCCATTTTGTTGGATCTGTTTTGAAAATTTGTATTTTCGATAATGTATACTCGTTCAAAAATCTTTTCGCGACGGAAAAAGCAAAAGAGAACACTTTCGGGGCTGCAAAAATAATAATTGATTGATAATATTTCATATAAATAAAAGTAAATAATTTTAAATGTCGATAACTTTGGCTGACATACCATTAATAATGTAACACATTTTTAAAATTTCTGGGTAATTCGCTTCGTACATTTGAATAGCGCTAATGACAACTTCACCGGCTGAAAAATAAAAAAGGTTTTTCTTTTATTAATCATCGATATACATATTTAAAAGATCTATAACATTGATATAATTTAAAAGAAATGTTACAATAAAAGGTAGGCTTTTATTTTTCATAGAGAGTTCACGGTTTTACCTGAATGCTTTACCTGGCCTCCACAAGTATTGTTTTAGATTGAATCCTTCCATGTCGTAGATGACAGTTATTTTTCCAGCTAGTGGACCATGCTTTTTTACTTGTTCGTTACATATTTTTAAATAATTTTCCAAATATTTTATGAAACTCTTTATAACGTCTCTTTTCGTAATAACATGAAGAGTTCCGTATATATCAAATCCGGCGAAAGGTACAACAACAACTAAAAGAATACATTTGAGATATATAGTGAGGATAATAATGTTTCATTTATAAAAAGATTTATGTAACATTATACCTGGTGCATTTTCTTTATCGAATCCACTTAAACCATGTGGCAAATAATTTTTGATAAGTTCCGGTTCATCCCATTCTTCTATTTTGTCAACTTCCCATTGCTTTCGCCATTGCAATGACTTAACAGAAATAAGGACATTTTTTGTTGTTTTTTCTTGCTATTGTTGTTTTTTTACGTACTTTTTTTTTATATAAAAAGGGCATGAAGAAAGGGATCTCTTTAATTGATCATCCAAATCTCATTTATATCGACGTTTTTATTTCGTACTCACGTTCCTTAGCATTTTCTCGGCCGCCGTAACGTTCCAGCTTCTCGCTGGAAATTTATAAAGATTTTATAAAGATTTTATAAAGAAAAAGAGCGACGGATAGTTCTATAAAAGTTCTTCATTAAGAGATTTTAATTAATTAATTAATTTATTTATCTATTTAATTTTATTTAAAACGAGTGAACATTAATATGTCGAACACTAGGACGGTCACCAGAAACTGATATTCAATTCCGCAGGCTATTCAGAGCATTGCAGAGATTATATTTCGTGTAATATAGAAGACTGAAAATATATTTCTTAATAAAATTACATTCTAATGTTAAAAATATGATAATGAGTTCTCCTTTTATATTTATTTAAATTTTTAAGTTTACAATAAAAATCATTAGATAAATGCATCGATTTATGCAAAACTAGTTCGATAGTCAATATATAAACATATTGCAGATCATACATTTTATTGTTAATCTATTTTTTCAACTATTTTTTCCTGTGTCTAATATTTTTAAATTATTTACAGCTTTTTAAAAGTTAAAAATCATCGTCATGCTGAATATTTATCTTTAACGAATATTTTAAAATGATATGAGTTATCAATATAAATTTTTATGTACTAAAACTTTTTTTTAAAGTGTAATATTCAGTAAACCATTCAAATAAATGAAATTACAAACATAACGTGTTTTACTTCTTTCTCCATTTGTAATGGGATGGAGTTCTGTTACTGATATTCGTAGCGTTTGGTAAGCTTCTTTTTTAATCTATTAACTCTTTTATTTCTTTATAATTTCTTATCACTTCGAAAAAAAAATCTTTATATCTTATTTTACATTAAGAATTCAATATTTGATATAATCTACATGAACTTATTCAGATAAAATTATTAACCTTACTAAGACGTAACTTGATTGATAAATAGGAAATGCAAGATATCTCATCAACGACTCATAAAATTGCAATATAATCAAATTATATCGAAACGGAAGATATATCGATATACTCCTATAACGAGTTAATATCATTCATAACGAATTCCAAAGTTTTTTGATTCGAAGAAAGACGCTTTGTGTTTTTTATCGAATGAAAAATATTTATTATGCGAAACGGACGAATATGAATTATGTTGACAACGTTGGAATCGAGTTTCTAACTAATAATAAAATCTTCCAACAGAATTAATTAAATTTGAAATTTTTATTTAAACGTGAACGTGATCTCACGATTAGAAAGGAAGAAATAACAATGATGAAAGCAAAAGTCTAGTACTTCGCAAAATTACGAGCCACAAACACGGCGATAGTTCGCTAAATGACCGATTATTACGCAGTACATTCCGTTGTTATAATGAGCTAGCTTCAGTTAAATATCTTCTTTTAGTGCTCTCTTTTCGATATCACCCAACGTCATTAAAACGAGCCGATCGAAACTCGGTTTTTAATGAGCAAATATATGTATTCCGTCTTCTATATCTTGTTTATTATAGGTATTATTCGAAACAATCGTGGCTTCAATTTCCTTATCGACGATTTCACAATTAATCGATCAATAAAATATTCATCTCTTACCTCGTAACCAACGAAGAAGAAAACGATCATCGTGATGAGGTTGCAGGACATCAGCAACGATTCGTCTAAACTAAAACACATTATTTAATTAAATATTAAATCGATCTAATCGATTTATTCATATCATCGATAAAAAAAATAGTATTTAATTTTTAGCAATTTATGTTTTTTAAATAATTATGTTTTAAACGATTTAAGTAATTTAATTAAAAAACCGTATTCTTTTCTTTTTTTTTTCTTTTTTTTAATCTTAATTATTTGGTTTTGGAAATAAATTCTTCAATTACAAGAGCATACACAGTATCCTTGTCGTGATGATATAATAAAAATCTTATTTTTAATTTAAATATTTCCTTTGTCCCTTCTATTTACTACGTGAAGTTACTACGTAATTAAATATATAAAAAGTTCAATATTCAGATCATATAATAATCTGGTTAAAAAAAAAAAAAAAAAATAAATAAAATAAAATAAAAAAAAGAAACAGTAGTTAATTAAAAAAAATCTTTTTACAATAATATCTTAGGAAAAATACTTTATATAAAAATATATAAAATAACGAAGCAAGACTTTGCTAAATGACTTATTTACTACTGTACAAAGTTCATTTTTTCTCGGTTTGATTTAGTTTTTTCTGTTATGAATTATACAATAATTATATTGATAGATTTCTTTTTAGTTGGATATTTTAATGATAATGACATTTTATATAACAATTCTTGTTTTTATACGGCTATATATATGTAATTAATAGCGCATAAATAATTCACGGCAAATTATTATAATAAAAAAAGTCTTATGAAAAAGTATTAACAGTAAACGATCATACTAAAAAATTTCATTATGATCGATTTAGAAAAATGATTCGTGACCAAGTGAAAGCTTTTCGTCTTCCTGTAAATTTTCCTTCGTTTTACAGTGAATAAAATTGGCCACTTTTATATACTTATAGAAAGAGATCTTTTTAAATCTAACACGGCGAACGTACGAAACGAAGATTTATTCGCCATAACGAAACGCTTTCTACACGGCACCTATTTTTCTTTGTAATTGCATTAACTACCATTTTCATTTTGTTTGCAATTAATACTTTTAAAGCTTAAAAATAAATATATTAAATTATGGATTAAAAGTTGGACTTTGTTAATGTATGCCAAATTCGAAGAAACCATCTATAAAAATATCATCTTTGCATAAGACGTTTCAAAAAAATGTCAAAAATTTTTTTGTCGATATTATATTATTCACGAATCTTATTCTTCTCTCTCTCTCTCTCTCTCTCTCTTTCTCTCTCTCTCTCTCTCTCTCTCTTTCTCTCTCTTTCGCTCTCTCTTTCTTTCTTTCTCTCTCTTTCTCTCTCTTTCTCTTTTTGTGCTAACGAGAAAGTATACACAAAGAATAGCATTTTCTTACAATTGTGAAACTGTAATAAGACATTCTTTTGCAAAAGAAATATGATATAGATTTTAAAAAATTGATTTGAACATATAAAAACCTTTATATAATATACGTAATATATATAGAATACAAAAATACATAAATACATCAAACGAATCGATAAGCTTCACTGAATCATAATTAAATGATTTTTGTTTGTTTAATGTGAATATATTTCATTTATACTTTTTAATGAATTTTTTAAGGTCTCTCTGACCTTATTCAATTGATATATATATATATATATATAAGCAGCTCGATAATCTGTTTTACGCGCGTAAAAATAAGTTTTAAAAGAATTCGAATATATCTTTTTGCAAGTACACGTACATCACCGATTCTACGTGATCTTCAGCTTGAAGCGTATGCTAACGGTTTCACGAAAGAGAGAGAAAGAGAGAGGTAGAGAAAGAGTAAAAAAAAGATAGAAAAGAACTTTCTTCGATTTTTTTATCAATTTTAACGTTAGTATGAAATAAATATAAGCTTACTTTCATCAAAGCGAAACGTTGATCGTCCAGTAAGTTCAATGATGTCGACATTGTTATTTTTGTGCGTTGGCCTTCCCGAAATGGTGACCAATATTGAAATCTATAAAAACTAAATCGTCGAAAAAACTTTCAAAAAATGATCATATCTCAATTTTAAAATTAAAAAGAAAAAAAAAAATAAAAAAAAAATAAAAAAAAATAAAAAAAAAAAAAAATAAGTAAATGTTTTAATGAAATTAATCGATTACGGTCAGAAAATAACAATACTTACGATAGAAAATAAAATTAAACAAAAGAAAAAGAAACAAATGAGAAAAAAATGGATAAGATTTACGTATTAGTAGATTACGTATGCATAAGATTACGTATCACTTTTGCAACCAACAACACTCTATGAAGTAGTGGATAAAGAAAATAAAAAAAACTGCACTCGAATGTGATTGTTATTTGATGCGAGTCAATAGAAAACTGAAAAGCAAGTGTTGCGCGTGACAACTTAATATCTACTAAGTAAGAAATATTCTATATAACGTTGGCTCCCTCCAGTTCATTCGAAGCCAAGCATGGTGGGGTACCTTTTCGCTATCGAAAGCTACCGTTCAATTCTACCATTTCTAAGGTTTATAAATTGCGTATATTGTATCATGATACAATGTCTTTTTAAATTTTAGAAAAAAAATATGAAAATTATAAATGTACATATACAAAAGTTTTTTAAGTTAAACTGAATTCAAATATAATATCAAAAATTGAATAATTCAAAATATCATCTACTATATGGTAAACGTCGTATGACAATTATCGTACACAATTTTTATAAAATCAAATAGTAAAACATTAAAATTAAAAATAGCAGATACAAAATGGTGAACTTTTTGTAGCAAATATAGCATAACAATTCATAAATTATTTATACGAATATTATCCAACTGAAATTTCCAGAACATTATTATCTAACGGAACATTATGATCGTTTGATAATTAACAACGAATAGCAAGCAATTTCAATTGTGCATAACAAATTTAGATAGTCGCAAGTAAATAAAAATATCAGATAAAAAATATTTTGAAATCTGTTTTCTTCGTATTCAATGTGTATTGTTCACAACAGAATAAAATGCTTCGTAACTCTAATATATCGATCAGATTTGAATTAGAATATTTATTGATATAGCTACAACAGTATGATCTAACGATTTTCTATAACTAAAAAAAATATGAACGGTTACGATACGTTGATATTGTATTTGTTTATTACTTCAATTATTCTATTACAATCGAACTAATATTTTAATATAATAAATTATAAGAATAATAATATGCCATATATTATATCACATCGATAATTACATTAATTAATTTAGTATTAAAGATATTGGAATTATAATTTTTGAATTATTATCTTCGCTTTTTCAAGTTAGTACTGCCATCTATGCAAGAAACGATGAAATCTCTCATTGAGTCAATTTTTATTATTGAGATTGACAAATGGAAAAAAGAAATAAAATATTAAATTGCAATAATTATGCATAATAAAAATTATACATTTATGGAATTTTTATTGGATATATTTGCATATATTTCTTCTATTTCCAAATAATTACATAGCCTGTCTCGAAAAACCTGATTTCCTCTCCTTTCTACTTTAACCTCTTTCTCATTGAAATATCAATATTTTACATTCTCAAACCTGATTTTTGTCTGTATCTTATTTCTTTCTTTTTTTGTATCCTTCACACGTTATTTTTTTTTGCATTGATAAAAAGAATAAAAGCGCAAAAAAAATGAAACGATCATTGGCTATCATAATTTAGTTATTATTGACTTTTCGAGAACGAAGATTATGTTAAAATCTTATGGAAATGAAAAAAACAGAGAAAAAAAATCAAAGACATTGAACATTGAAAAACGTCGGTTTTTAAAAAATTTATTTACTTATTCACGATTATGACGTATACCTGTTCTGTATTTACAAACTGGTACAATCACCTATGACCTATACCTACAGTTCGGTATGGTTCGGTATAATTCGGTAATGTTCGGTAATCATTGCAATCACAGCGACGCCAATATGCTTTCTCTACTTGCTCATTTTCACACCGCAAACAACTAACTGCAAGTTAGCTTGGAGAAATGCTTGCTCGAAAAATGGTGGGGGAAATTCTTTCTATTACTGCCTCTTATTCGCCGAACCTGCATTCTTTTCAGAATCGATATTGTTCAACGAACTCTTCTTATATACCAGCGAAACTTTTGTGGTATGGCAGTTACGTTCATAATTTCACCTTTCATTGCTCTCTTCGTGATATACCAAATAAAAGAGTGAACATAATATAAACGAGTAAACGTTAAACATTATATATGAGTTTGTTTTGAAGAATGCACCAAAATTACGATTTCGTTAACATACTCAAACAACGGACTGCTGCTACATTTCCAAGAGAAAGAAGATTGTGTGAAGTGTAAGTAATTTTCTAAACAATTATTTCTATTATAATTGTTAAACAAGGATTAGAATGATAAGAAATGTTGAAAATTCCAATAAATTCGTATAAATTTGATAAGTTCTTTAAAATATGTTAGTTCATTAGCGTGTGCCTTAATTTGCTTTTCTTATCTTGTTGAATAGTTTGTACAGTTGTCAATTTATGGATGGACATTGGATATGAGAAAGATATTTTAGAAAAACAAAATTATTTCATTAAAAATAACAGTAAAAATTCTTACAAGCAAATAATAAGTTTATATAATGGTAACTTTAATTAAATCAATGAGTATTGATTTAAGTAGGATGACTCATATATATATTTATACATCTAATATCTTATATGAGAAATCTATTATGAATCTGTATGGATATTTTGGATTATATCAAAGTATTAATTAGATAGATATTTCAAATAGTAAACATATTATAATGAACATATAAAATTATTCTTTGAAACATTTGTAATGTCATTGGTCAAAGAAGCAGCAAAGTTAGGTAGGCTTTAATTAATCTTGTGATGAAATAAGAAATATATACTAAAAATATATCTTTCAATTCTTAATATATAGCATGTAATCTCTTTTAACGTTTTATTTTTGATGCAAAGAAATATTGCTAATATAAAAATTATTTAGATGTATTGATTTGGATAGTAATAAAATACTCTTTAAATTCGTAATGCTGAATGATTCATTATCATGTTATGCTAATGTGCATTATTTACTATTCGTGTAATATATAAAAATGTGTGCATGTAATATACACACACACAACACACATATACTTACATGCTTACGTTCGTATACACATATTCAGATTTCTAAAAAGATATGACGTTCTAACGTTTCATTACATATAACCGGATACGTATAATCATTGGTAAGCTCCAGACATCTTCGCATTTCATAATTGGTCATTGTCTAGCGCGAGAAAAAACACCAAACGACAAAATCACATTGTCCATCGCGAAACGTTTGACTCTTATATAGATTTGCCGGGTACCACGAGTTCGTTTTACCAGTCGGCCATCTTCGTTGACATTCGGCAATGTTCGGTACACGATGCGCTCGAGCGGCTCTTTAGCCTTCAGTATATCAACATCTGTTGTAGTAGTAAGTGGGTTGGAGTGTGTTTTTTCGATTCTTTTATAATATTATATATTTCCTTCAAAAACGATGTGAAATCTATTAAAACTGATCGTGTTCTTTATATGAAGTCTATTTTAACAAAAATTTTATTTATATTTACACACGACGTAGCCATTCGTCCGAGTTCTGTTTTTTTTTTTGTATATATATGTATACGTGGAAACGCGTGAAAGAGAGAAGCGAATTCGCGGATGCCATGAAGACACACGATTCATCGTTGGAGCCTGTGACCATTGGGTTCAAGGTATGTTTCGATGTATGTGTCATAATATTTTTTAAAGATAACCTAGTAACCTTTTTTGACGTTGTTATTACTAAATATAGTTCTGCGTTTGTGACTCGTTTTACATTTACGAACAATAATTAAACGATGTTAACGACTGTAATAAGATAATAATAATACAATTTTTTTTTCAATATTTATTCAAACGTTTCGTTAGTTTGTTCGCGATAATAAAATCGTTCGTACCAATATATACTGCCCCATGTTTATTTTTCATTTACAATCTATAGCTAGATACGCACAGTTATCGTTGTATAACAGTCTGCCATTTTTGTTATTGAAAATAATATAGAAATCTTTTTTAACGCGTCCAATTTGTTTTTTTAAATTTGAAAAATAGAAACTCGATGATTCCAAAGAGACATATATCATCATGATCGTCAACATCGATAGTAGAACTCTTGGACCGTTTTAATCGTGATTTAATTTGGTACGCGAGCCGGCGTAAAGGAAAAGTTAGGTACATTTAACGTGCTCATACAAATATACACACATACTTACTCTTCCTCTCTTTCTCTCTCTCTCTCTTTCTTTCTGTCTCTCTTATTTTCACTTTGTATTTTTAGTGTTATTGGCAACGTTTGTATTATTAAATATGTGTTAGCGAGCGTGCATCGTGAGAAACTTTTCACATGAATGTGACAAAAGGAGATCGAAATGAATTTTCTTCTCACGTGTCTCTCTCTCTCTCTCTTTTTCTCTCTATCTATCTATTTTGCTCTCTTTCTCTCTCTCTTTCTCTCCCTCTCTCTCTCTCTCTCTCTCTCTCTCTCTCTCTCTCTCTCTCATTGTTTATCTCTCTTTCTCTCTCTCTCTTTGTTTATCTTTCTTTCTCTCTCTCTGACACGAATCTTTCGTCCTTCTACGTTCGTCCTTGTTACATCGTACATGATCATACACAAATGCGTTTATATTTATGTCGATGTTATGTGTGTCTCATCAGAAATAAATAAACTGAAGAACAGAACGGAAAAAATTGATATTGTTCAAGTGTAGATAAATTCATTGTACGGAATCTTTCATTAGGAAATATATATGTGTAAACGAATGATGTTTATACGGAAAGTTAGATGCCTTGAAAAACATGTGCATCGACTCGATAATAATCGAATATTAAAGACTTAAAATGTCTCGTAGTATATACCAACGACCATTAATAGCATGCATAATTTTCTTTAATATTGACAAATCGATCCAATATAATACTATTTTTGTATTTTCTATTCAACAATTTTTCAATGATATGATCGTACATATACGATGAAACCGGTTTGATCTAATTTAACCGATGAGATAATAATTCATGAAATTTCCTTAATTTTATTTTAATATAATATAATACGTAATATGTATTAAGTTAAATAATAAATTATAAATAATAAATAATAAAATAAATAAAAGTCTGTATACCAATTTATTGGAAACAATGTACGTATATGGAAAAGAGATGTTTTAATAAACACTCGCAGTGAAGAGATAAAAGAATATACGTATTATTATTTTTTTATTTTTCTTAACTTTTTTCTTTCCTTTTCTTCTTTTTTCTTATCTTTTCTTTTTCTTCTTCTTTTTTTTTTTTTTTTTTTTTTTGTTTTTTTAACACGGACTGTTTACGTAACGCATGAGAAATAATAAATATCTTCGGATTTCATTAAAAGGAAAATTTTTTTTTAAATAACAGAAAGAATAATGACACCAATTTATATATCAAGAAATATGTATTGAAATTATTTACGTTAGAAAATTGATTAATCGAATATCAAGTTATCTGAGAAAGTTATTTTCGTAGAAGAAACGATCCGTATATATTTATGCTATTACAAGATTAATTAAACATATTTTTATACATTCAGACGACAAAAAAGATGCGATATAAAATTATAAAATTCCGAATGAACATTTATTATCAACAATCGCAATGATTAAACTGCATCATTCGATGTTTCAAGAACATATCGATCGAACGTATGTTAGATATATGACAAAACCTACGGGATAATATTATGTACAGTAGATCACAGAAATATTCAGATATCTTTTGAAATTGAATCTTTTTTTCTTTTTTTCTTCCCATTTTTTTTACATTGGCCCGAAAAGAAAGTATGAATTTTTGAATAGATACGGAGAAATTAATGTTATTACGTGAAGTACATATGATAAATGAAAAGAAAACAAAAAAAGGCGACAAAAGAATAAATAAAAATAAAAAATAAGAAATTGTATTTTTTATTCCAACACATAAAATAATCATTATATCATAAAATTCGACATTTCATCACGATTTAAAAGATCGTTTTATATTCTTTAAAGATTTAATCCTTGACGATATTAACGACATTAGACAAGTAAATTTCTTTAGAAAAATATTCGAAATATTTCAATTGTTTAATTCTTCACATATATTATTCCATAAGATTCGATTTATTTTGTTAAATCTATTCGTATATTTAGAACGTTCTTTATTGAGTATACTAATAAAAATTTTTTTAATTCAGAAGATCTCTGAATGTTTTTGTGATTTACTGTATGTGTAGGGTATGTAACGAGGCGTGAACGTTATGCGTCTCCATTAAAGTATCAGCTGCGCGAGTCAATTGGCTACAAACATGTGCTTTCAAGCAGAAACTTTTTAATGCTAATAAAGCATATAATTTTTATACGTAAAAACGATCATTATTCCTTTTTTTTATTATTTTGTTTTATTCCTTTCTTTTCTCTCTCTCTCTCTCTCTCTCTCTCTCTCTCTCTCTCTCTCTCTCTCTCTTTATATATATATATATTTTATACTTCCATTATTAATTAATAATTAAAAATAACATTTGAAATCTTCACGTACATTGCATCTCGTATTTTTTTACAGCGTGGATCGAGGACGCAGAAGAATCATCAAGCCTAATGTCCGTATGGTCGACGAGCACTGGACGCAATTCAGTGTTTGGTGGCGAGAACGGAGCCGGACTCCCCTCCTCCCACTTACCTATCCACGTAAACGTGGGTCATCTACACACACGAAACGCTAATGAGCATTGCTATCACAAGAGATTCTACGATTTTCAGGTTGGTCGACGTTCTTTTTAAAAATCATTATATTTCTCTTTCGATACGTATGTTTTCGTACATATGAATTCGTTCTAGACTTTTACTAGTTTTTTAACAATATAGATCATTTCTTCCATATTTTATCAACCATATTGCATCATGAGAGTTTAAATTCATATGGAATATTGCTTTATATTTATGAAATCCTATAACCATCGGTTATAGGATCAGAAAGGTTTTATTATTATTATTATTATTATTATTATTATTATTATTATTATTATTATTATTATTATTATTATTATTATAATTATAATTTTTTATATTTCTAAATTTTTTTTTTTCGTAATTATAAAAGACATTAAAGATAGACATATGGAGTTTATTTTCTTGTTTCGCAGATAAAAATAAAGTGTACTTTGAGGTCTGATTTAATTCGGTTATTTGGGTTAGCGAATATTCGTATGGAAGCTCTATAAAATTCGACTACCTTTTGGAGACCTTCGTATGATCTTGATAATCGCTTATGACGTGCACGCTTTCATAATTAGTACAACGTAACGAAGTGTATACGTGCTAATGTGTCTTATTTCAATCCAAATCCTATTTAACGTAATAGTATCCTTTTCTTCTTCCTTTCGTAATCTGGATCGGTCGATCACAGAAACAAAAAGAAACACATGATATATGTGTTGATCGTGTTGTGTGCGCAATATTTTAAGCTTAATATTTTTTCGATTTTCAATATTTTTTTTTTCTATTTTAACGAAAAAAAACATTGGAAAAGTATTGAAAAATATCATTTTTTGGGTACGAGTTAGTACAATTGATATATAATACAATCTTTGATGTAAGTAAAAAAGAGTTTAGATATATAAAAAGTGTCGAATTGATAAAAAAAAAAAAAATCGTTAGAGGGAACAATTTTAATAACAACTAAGAAGCAATTAAAAAAAAAAAAAAACGATGAAGATCATTCCTGGATTAACGTTCACACACATAAAAAAAAACGTGTCGTGTATAATAAGCGTAAAGTTAGATGTAGTCTCGTTTCTCACTTCCTTTCTCACACTTAGTCTTCATTCTTGCCAGATTTCCCAGCGTTTTGATAATCCCTTTTCCTTTTCCTAGTCAATTATTTCATTAATATCTTTCGTTCTTATTGTTTCTTTCGTTCAGCATTCCCGTTGGTTTTTCTATCCTACGCGGGACTTTTGGCAAGTTCCTCGCACCGGCGTTGATAACAACTTTCGGTATGTTTTCATGCTTCTTTACGAGCCTCTTGCACTTATCATATCCGCAAACGATAGGTCGATTATCTTGGTATAAGTAGAAGTTATTTGAGTGTGAATGAAAAATACAAAATAGGAATTCTGTACAGCGAGACAAAAAGAAAAACTATTAATTACATTTTATCATGAACGAATGAATTTCTCGTTTTTTTTCTTTTTCCATGTCTTTCGATTGATTAGTCGAAGATGTCGCAGTCGGGTGATGGCCTTCACACACCGGGTTATCTCTCATGGAGAAAATTGCAGCTGAGCAGAGCGAAATTAAAGGCGTCCAGCAAAACCTCGGCATTGCTCTCGGGTTTCGCTATGGTATGACTAGAATATTTTCTTTAACATTTATTATAATATATGTATATTGTTCTTATAGTTTTAATTTTGTGTTTTTTTTTTTTTTCTATACGTATATTAAATCATAGTTAAACGTAGACAATAAAGAATATGAAGATTATAATTGTCAATAGGTTGCTATGGTGGAGGTACAACTAAACTCTGATACAAAAGTTCCTTCGGAGATGTTAATTGCTTTCGCAGTTTGTACGACGTTACTAGTGGCTGTTCACATGTTGGCGTTGATGATATCGACGTGTATTCTACCGAATATCGAAGCGGTCTGTAACTTACACAGCATAAGTCTTGTACACGAATCGCCACACGAACGTCTCCATTGGTACATCGAGGTAGCATGGGCGTTCTCCACTTTACTTGGTTTACTTCTATTTCTATTAGAGATAGCGATTCTCTGTTGGGTAAAGTTCTACGATTTTTCTCAGGTTGCCGCATGGTCGGCCTGTATAGTGTTAATACCAGTATTGATAATCTTCCTCGCTTTTGCGATACACTTTTATCGTAGTTTGGTAGCTCATAAATACGAGGTTACTGTATCCGGTATAAGGGAACTCGAATTGCTCAAAGAGCAGATCGAATCAACAGATACCGAAGGTAGAAACGGTATAAACTTATTACAATCCGGTGTAACACACGTTGTGTGATATCGAGTACTTCGACTTTGAAGAAAATACCATTGAAGCGTCTGTGACGCGGGAAGGATTTCATCGATTTTTTACAATCATTTTCTTTCCCCTCATCCAATTACATTTTTTTACTGAGCGTTATCGTAGATCAGAATCGTACATATATGTATATACTAATTATCGTTTTTAAGAATAACGAAAGTAACTAGCTCTTTCAACTTCTTTTATTATTTTCGAGTTTTTGGGACTATATATGTGAAATATCCATAATCTTCCTGGAATGTGAGTTTGGTGGGAGAACTTTAGGGAAATAACAAATAATTACGTACGTATGTAAATGTGTTTCACTGGATACTCGAAATCCTATAAAAAATTTTTATATGAATTTTTGTGATTTTTTGAAAAACGCTTATAGAATAATTTATTTTATCAAATAATCAAAATGATTTAATTAACATGACATTTATGCGAAGGGTACGAACAAAATTTTCTATTATTATTACTATTATATCGTGTTTATAAATGATAAAGATATGAAAAGATATTGTAACTTCTTTACCTTTTAGATTTCTCTCGTCTCTTTTCGCATATATAACGTAAGTATTGATTTTATTAAAAGTTGAAAATAAAGAAAGAATTATATAATGAAATCTCTTCATCTTTATAAAAATTATTTCATTTATTTTTATATAATAATTTACAATTTTCTTAGAATTATTTTCTTTCTAGATATAAATTAATGCCCTTCAATTTTCTAATGAATTTAATTAAACTCTGTAAATACTTGACTATATACATTAATTAATTTTATTTAATTTATCAATGCTAAAGAAGATCTATAACGATCATAGTGAATAGTAACAAGCTCTCTCGCTGTTTTATCGACGATAAGTTAATTTTAGTTTTAGAGAAGTGGCGCAGCTGAGCCATCGACAAGCGCAACATTTTTATAATCGTAAGTTGGCAATGAGATTTGGATTTGGTGTATATTATAATTATTTGCAAAACGCTGATTGGTCAAGAATATATCAAACAAGAAAAGAATTTTAATAACAATTATTTTGAAACGATTTAAATTTTATAAATTAATTTATAACAAAATGTCTCATTATTGTATTGATTTGACGTTTCTTGATAAACATTCATATAAAAATAATAAATTACATTACATTTAGCGTACTTCTTATTGGTTCATTCATTGCTTGTCCAAAAACTTTTATAAAGTTAGTGCTATAGAAGGGAGGACACTACAGATGTAATGGCTGACGGCTGTTTGTAAATATCGTGCCTCGTCTGAATTTTTTGACAATTAAAGGATCTTCGTTCTCAGGTTCGTGTAATATTATCAAATTTAGATGTATATTAAATTTTTTATTTTAATAGTAGATTTTCTTTTTTTTTGTAAATAGATAAATAGTAAGAGAGGAAAAGAGAGAGAGAGAGAGAGAGGAAGAGAGAGAGAGAGAGAGGACGAGAGAGAGAGAGAGAGGAAGAGAGAGAATATATGCCGCGTGTCAATTGTTTCTTAATAATATAATAATACAGCAAAAACGGAATTCTTTTTTAAACAGAACGTTTAATCGAAATTTACTTGAACAATCGTACTATAGCTTACGTCACAATTTCATAGTTACTCTTATAAAATAAAAATGCATAAGATCACACGTAAAATGCATAATTAGATAAATAGGATGTTATGATTCCCAATATAAAAAAGATCTTGCAACACTCGTAATCTTATAAATTTTATGTAGGAGAATTTATGATACTGTGTATGAGTGATTATTTCCTCTTTGTCCTTCTCTTTATCCCCACTCCTACTGCAGCACTCTTTCTCTCTGGTGCATACATACACACGCACACTAATTCACCTACTTCACTCTCGTGTATCTCGATTGCGGTTGCGTTCTGCGCTAATTTTTTTTTTCCTTAACAGTGCTATAAGTAACGACCGTGATCCAACGTTCTCCATCGATTTTCCTCTTTTTTTTTTTTTTGTTTTTTCTTACTGTACTTTTTAACAAAAAAATATATATACATATTATTAACGTATATCTATCAACGAATATTGTATGGTGCGTTTAATATATCTGTTCATATTTGCTTATAAGTACTACGCATAAGTACTACGCATTTTTCTGCTGTTATATCAATTTCATGTGGCATACATGTGTGTGTGTATATATATATATATATATATTTGTATATATGTACATATGTAATAATCATATCCGTCGATGTTACATGAAAATTAACGAGAAGACTTCATTATACGAATGATTTCTATTGTCTGTTCATAGAAACGAATCCCGCATCTCTCAGATAGGACGTATACAAGGACATATAATTCAAACAGAAATTGCACGCATCTCCCAAGGTTACAGTTAAGAGGGCATTAGGTATTTTTCTTTCTGTCTATTTTTCTTTTTCTTTTTCTTTTGTTATTATTCGTTATTAATTTCTTTTGTGTTTTTTTTTGTTTTGTTTTTATACATATTTTTCCTTATCGTTCGTTCTAAGAAATCCCCTACAAGTAAACTTTCAATCTGTCGTTTTTTTTTTATCTATTGTCATTTAAATGTATATAATGCTCGATGCAAAGTACAAAACTTTTTATGTACTTTATAATTAGTATTATTTACTAAACAACGTAGAAAAACTTAAGAAAGAATGAGTTTATAATCATTAAGTAAAGAAATATTATATTATAAGGAAAGAAACGAGAAAGAAAGAAATATTGATATTTTTGTCCATTTAATTATTTATAGAATGATTCATTTAACTTGTTCTAGTTAAAATAGTTTTTACAATTTTTAGATAAAATGCAAATTTATCGTTACAAAATTATCATATGTTTATATACATACATATCTATTTTTTTCAGCGATAAAAGTTTTTCCGCTTTCGTGGAATATGTTTATTTTTCACACGTACTGATAAGAACAGTAATAGAACGTGTTCAATTTTCAGAATGTGCATACGGTGACTGTAAGGTGACATATAACATACGTGTACACTATAAATACATACATACGTTCGAGTATTGCGATATTATAATAAAATAATAAAAAAAAAAAAAAAGAAAAAAAAAGTTAAACAAAAAAAGTGTAACGTCGGTTTTCTTCTTTTTTCGTGTGTGCGTGATTTTTATTTAATTTTATTTTATATTTTCTTGATTTTTTTTTTTTATAAATTAATTCTCATTTTTTCCCATATACTTTGATTGTACATAATTTATTTGTTTCATTTATATTGCGCTTCTATCTCGTTTTTATTTTAATTTCAGCAATTAAATTCGAGACATCGCGAAGATATCTGTGTTGTTAACAATGAGCGACGATTCCGATCTTTGCAAATGTATATGGCCTAACGACTTGCTCATGCAACGTCTACTTTCTATCGTAAGTCGAATTTACTTATCGTTAAATAAAACAAAAAAATAATAAATAATCCTATATTTCTATATGAAACGATAATATTTATAAGATTTTATTTAAATGTTTGTTATCGATTGAGAAAAGTATTTTTTGATTGTCATGAAAATTCATCAATGTTTGACGATATCTATTGAAAAAAATTATTTTAAAATATTCGACACGTTTACAATTGTTTATCTTTCAAAGAGAGTTATTATGACTAATAAAATGACGATACGGTTTATGTATAATGTATATATATCTCATGGACACAGTCGGATCTTTGTCGCGTATCGCAATGCAAATAATTTCAAGTGTAGAGTTCGAATTACTTAATACAGAATTTTTTTTTTTTGTTTACATTGCATTATATGATTTATGTAAAAAATTAGTTGATCTTTGCATAATATCGTTTAATGTCCTTCGAATGTTTTCTTTTCCTTTTATTTTTTTTTTTCTTTCATCGTTGCAATACATATATCGTCGGTGACAAATTTCGGTGAATATTATAATTTTATAAATTAGTATGAACAAAAGTAGAATATTTTTTTTTTCTGTGTCATTATCAAAAATATATTGTTTCAGTTACGACTAACACAAAATTACTGTACAGACAATGAATGTTTTAGCTTCTCAAGGTGTAGGTATTCTTTTTCTTTTTCTTTTTCTTTCTTTCTTTCTCTTTTTTTTTTTTTTGTTGTTGCTTACGATATTGCGCTTGCGCGTTAAAAATTATTTTATATTCATAACATTTTCTTTATTTTAGTGCCAGGACCGCTTCCTGTACAGCCATCTTCTAATTTTTTCATGACATGTTTATTCTTTGCATTTATTGTTTTAATGTATATTATCAGACCAAGATCTCTTCGACATGCATCATTGCGGAGCAATGTTGCTAAAAATCGAAACGATATATCCGTAAGTGATAGCATTTATGTCAATAACGTAATATTTAACGTAATCAATATCGAAAATTCTCTTCATAATGATTATCGATAGATTAGAATCAAATTTTTATTTCTAATTATTTTATTAGTTTATATTTTGTTGTTCAAATACTGTTACTTATATTCACTAATGAAAGTTAAATATTAGTTCAACTAATTCTGTAAACATAAGATAGAAAAGATGTTTTTATAGGGTTCGAGCGATGATCCTCCAACACCACCACCTACAGGAAATTAAAAAACATAGAAAGAGTAGATGTTTAGAGAAATTTTGTTCTACTCTCATAGTTGGATTTATCAAGTCTGGAAAGTAACAATATTGGAAGAGTAATTATGAATCAGAAGATTCATGATCTGAAATCTTTTTTCTCATTTTCTTTTGTTTTTGTCTCCCCCTCCCCCTTTTTTTTTTATTATGCAAATGTTATAAAAATTTATATTCAGTATTAATTATCAAACGATATAATATTATATTTTATATGGGAACGCAGTTTTAATAAAACTATATTTTATATTCTATTCTATTCTATTCTATTCTTTCCATTTCTTCCTATTAACAGCTCGTTCACAGCGAATCGTTAATTTATTCTAATTAATTATTTTATCATCTTCTATAGTGACGCATATGTTATACGTGTATGTTATGACGCATACAATATGTATAGTAATTACAATGTATATAGTAATTATGTAAAATATTAGCACTAGTTATGATAAAATAAGGCATCTCAAAGTTTAATATTTTATAACACAATTGTATAACAATGGGTATGGCATATTTATAATTAGTATAAGGGAATTATTTTGTCATAAAAATTTATTATGCAAATTATTCTTTCCATTCCAATTGTATGATAGTTGTAAAAATGTACGATGACTGAACATATTTTAATAAATACTTTTTTCTTCCGTAATTTAATAAAAATTTACATATATGAGAAGATAGAATGTATAAGTTTATTAATATTGCTTATTATATTATTATATTGTCGATGATATCAACATAAAGTCATTTTTCATATTTAATTATCTATCATTAAAATGCACAATAAAATAACTTTATTTCACGTTTTAATATCTTTATAGAAATATAAAAAAGATTCAATGAGCACCTAGATATTTACAAGTTTATTTTTTTTTTTTTATATTATTATACTTCATATAAGTACGTAGGTAACCTTGAAACAAGTGTCGACTGAAATAGTAGCCAAACTATAGTAAAGACTAAATTACGCGAGGATTTTTTTTCTACAACCTCTTTTTTTTTTTTTTTTTTTAATAACATCTAATAAAAATACCAAAAATATTTTTCTTTATTCTTAATTATTTAATTTAAAAATTTTTTCGAATTTTTACACGTATACCTTCGACATTGCGATAATAAAAATATCAAACAATTTTTTCATTAGAATACTAATGCTATTTAGTAATACCTCGAATCAATTAATTTGAAAATTTGGCTAGTTCACAATTTAATCTTAATATTTTAAAATTGTGAACATTTTAAATATTGAAAAACTTATCACAAGAATGCTTATTATATCTATAAAATAAGATTAATAAAACATGATTCTTTTTCTAATATTATAATTTTTTATCAAATTGTTTATCACATACATTTGACGTTTCATACGAAAATTTCAAGAAAATTTTTATATTCTTTTTGCTATATTGTTTGGCATTTATTTCATCTGACATCCTACATGAACAAATTTACAATTTTTTTAAATGCATAGGGATTCATTTTTACAAGAAAAAAATGAATAATTTAGAAAATGCAAAAGATGAATAATTTTTGAAATGCTGTTATCATCGAAATTATATTATAACCGATTTAATGAGCTAATTTTGTTATCGTGATCCGATAAAATATTTTAACGTATATATAAACTAAAATATTCGGATTATCACATTTTTGTACTTTTAAGAGGAGTATTAATTTCATGGAAAATAAATGTAGATTTTTTATATAGATCTAAGATTATGCAAAATATATTACATATTAAATGAAGAATATTTTTCATAGAATTCTGAATACGAGAAAAATTTTGCAAACCATATCATTTATGTTAATTAGTGTTCAGACCATATGGAACATATGATATAACTTTCTATGTTTAAATTATAAAGACACTTATCGATTAGTTATTCTACGTTTGAACAGGTTCTTTTTTTTCTTTTAACAGTAGTTTTTGTAATCTTTACAGAATTCAGATAAGAAATTCTCATTCATAATTATATTATAGTTTATAATACATTATTATGCGCTATTATGCTTGAAATCATTTATATTACAATATTTACATACAAACTTTGTATGTAACAAATTATATCGGTATAGGAATTATTTCAATTAGCATTTCAATTAGCATTTCAATTCTGAAAGATATCTAATAGATAAATAATTTTCACGAATCCTCATGCAATTTTGCCAAAGTACTTCGTACTTTTTGCAAAACTCCTGTGATTTGTTCATACTTACCAGTAGAGTCTGGTAAATTTTCAAAATTGATAACATCACATATGTTCTTTGAGAATTTTTCTGAAGATGGTAACTTATTATAAGTAGAAGTACTCTGTAATATGGGTGTACCAAAGTCCACTGATTTTATACTTCCCTGACTAGTATTAAATATACTGTGTGCACTTTGAAAACGATTGAATTGTGGTGTGTGTTCATTGGAAGATAAAAGTACTTCTGATTTCATACTAGAATTTAAAGAGCTGCATTTCATAGGTGCATCAAGATTAGATTGCGAGCTAGAATCTTCAAGTTCTACAAGTAATCGTTTTTTCATGCTTTCAAGATCTGATAATGATGGTGAATTTGTCCTAGACAATGAAGATGCACTTTCATCCTAGAAAAATATATAAGTTTAATATATTTGTTCTTGTTAGTTTTTCAAACAAATACACAATGTAGAACTCACAGCTGAATCTTGCGATTGACAATCAAATAAACATTGCTCCGATGTTGATAATGAGGATGGAGGTTCTGGTGGTTTAATAGGTACATCTTTTGGTAAAGGTGGTATAAAGTGTCCATTAATAGGTACCGATTCTACCAAACCTTCCGTTCCTATAAATAAAATAAGGTTACATTCACTTGATTTTTTTTTTTCTATTATTTAGGAAAAAAGATATATATTATCAGCGAAAATGATAAGAAATTACCACTTAAATCTTCTATTTCCATATCACTAGATACTGTAGGTGAATCGTTCATCAAAGACATGTTCGATTTCAATTTTTTTCTTTTATATCCCTCTGCCGCTTTCTTTCCACTCAGGTGGAATAACATATTTTTTTTACTATGAAAACTTTGCTTTTCAGGAGTCCATAATACATTAAGTTTCTTTTATAAAAATCAGAATTTTTTTGTTGAAAATATTTAACAATAATTTGTTTATCAAATATTATTATAAAAATGCTTACATCATGAGTACCTGGTGGAGGTGGAACATTAAATCCAGGATAGTCAAAAATTTTTTTTATATCATAACGATCTCTATCTTCTTCTGCAACAATTTCACCTGGTTCATCATTAGGATCCAATTCTGCTATTCCATCTGAATTGAATAGAGATAATCCTGAATGTTGTAAACGTGCCTCTTCTAACCACCCAGGAGGATAACCAAGTACTCTCATTCTATGAAACATGTATTAATTGTCATATAAATGAAATGTTATTAATCTAAGAAACGATTTGAGATTATTTTTCATAATGCATGTACTTGTAAATGTGCATAGGTAATTCATAATCTTTGAGGCCCAATGCAATACGCAAATCTTTACTAATTTGTCCAGGAATCATGTGCCCGAATCTTTGATCGTCATCTAAGTGATACCTAATACCCCTATTATTATTTCTCATACTAAGCTCTTTCCGATTTTTATTTATATTAGCTATGTTCCAAGGCATTTTACAATTTCGTAAATTATGATTTCCTGAACAATTGAAACATGAAATTTGTCGAACACATGAATCTTTTTTCTCTGGCTCTAATTCTTCCTCTTTATCTTCATCAATTACACCTTTATATTTCTACAAATAAATATTGTTAAATTTGGACCATATAAAAAATATTTCTGATGTGGGATATATGCATTATTATAAACTTCATAAAATATACCTTTCTATATTTTGGGATATCCACATTACTTTTAAGTGTGGGTTGTGTATCAATAGTAAAGAGAGATGATGTATCTTTACTATCTTCACCTTCTGTATTAGCTTCTAATAATTGTTGATCACAGTTTTTTGTTTTGTTCCAAATTTCTAAAATTATATTAGAGAAACTACTGTCTGTTATTTGTTGAGACGTTTTCAAAACCAAATCCTGTAAGAATTGTCTTATTTCTTTTTCATATTGCCTGTAATATAACAAACATATTTGAACGTTTAATATTGTTTGTATCGATTGTTTTGAATCGATCTCTCATCAAAATGCTTTAGGAAAGTAAAATACAAAATGTCAGATCTGTCCTAGACAACATTTTTTATTATATATTGATAAAAAATGATAAATGAATTATAAATTGAAGCAAAATTATTTATGACTTGAATGGAAAGATACGGAATAAAGCTTATGTTTTCTTTTTTTTTCCTCGAAAAAGCAAAGAAAAGAATATTGATGCAAAACCGACGCATTGTCATTCTTAGTAAGAACCGAAACTCACCGAGCTATATTTTCATCTTGAAAAATAACCTTAAACATAGGCTTGGAATTGTTTGTTGATTTTACATGTTGATAAGGTTCGAAGTTTTCGTTGACGTTTGGCGTTTTCTCAATAAACTTATAATCGCCGATAACGTCGCACGTTGAGAGATCGCTCTCTCTTGTCTCGAAGTCATCCTTACTTTCGCCATTATCGTGAACGATTACAATATCGTTTTGGCTCTCTTCCAATTCTATCACTTCATCGTCGGTATCCACAATAGTGATCGTGGAATTCATAGAGGTAGTACCATCGGTCATTGTCTTGATTTTATATAAATTGCAATTTGTTATGAAGTTGCATTAATCGTGTTTATATTGTTAACTTAAACATTTAATCTTGTCCTTGCTTAATAACATTTACAAATACAGATTCAATGGCGCGCCAATAATCTTAATTTTTGGAACTCGATGCGAAAAGAAGAGCTTGCGAAAACAATTAGAAACAATATGCGCGATGCGTTACGAACTGAATTAATAAAAAGAAAGATTACACTTATTTTGATTTAATTTAATACCTTTGTTTAATTTTATTCCCACTAGCGTTACTTTTTATCCGCCATTTTGGATTGAATCAACAGACGTTTGACTTTACCGACTTTACCAACATACAGGATAGCCAACATAAATATAATAATAAATAGTTCTGTTAGTTGTTTACAAAGACGAAATTATTAATAAGTGACTTTTGTAGATGGAAACAAATGTTGATGTTTTAGAAAAAAAATATTTTATACTTTGATGCAAGTGTTATATGATTTATCATGTGAATTGAAACTAAGTCGGTGGAATCATCGTAGTTTTTTTTTTTTCGACTAATTCTACAAAATGCCCTTTTTGAAATGTTTAAAAATTTCTTCTAGTAAAGAGCAATCGGAAAGAACTAAAAGAAATGGATTACGATTTTCCATATATAGCCCACAAAAGAAAGTTCTTTTCAAGGCACATTATAAAGGCGAATGGAAGGATGATAGGAAACACGGCAAGGGTATAGAAGTAGACAGGTATTCGTTTTGAAATTCACATTCTTCCATTCTTTCTCTCTTTATTTATTTATTCCTTTGTATCGTTTTATCGATTTGTTATTTCGTCGTAAATCAGAAATGGTTGGATGTACGAAGGTCATTGGTTTTGTGATCGAAAGCATGGTTATGGAATATTAAGTAAAATTTCAAAGGATGGTAGCGTTTGTAAAGTATATGCGGGTGATTGGATAACAGGGAAAAAGGAAGGCTATGGTAATTTTAGTTACGATAATGGTGATTATTATGAAGGGGACTTTCAACGTAACAAACGTCATGGTCATGGCCGTATTTGGTACAAAAATGGCGATTATTATCAAGGCTTTTGGAAAAATGATTTTCCACATGGCAAAGGGATGCTCATTAAAGGTTCGCAGAATCGATGGATGGCGAGTTAAAGAAATCATTTCGTTTATAATAGATTTTTCATATATATATATATTTTTTTTTTCTTTTTTTCTTTTTTTTTTTTTTTTTATTAAATTATTAACAGGAAATGGAAATCGATACGAGGGTAATTTCGTCGATGGCAAAAAAAACGAATTCGGTACATTTTATCATTTAGATACCGGCCAATGTCAATACGGTTATTGGTCAAACGATTCTTGCGTTAATAGTATAATGCGAGATATTAGTTGGCGACAATCGGCTTTGCATCCAACCGCATATGCAATACCGAAAATAAATATATCGACGATATGTTATTGACATTCGATTCAATTAACTTTTTATAACCGTTAATTATAATCAATGAATCATTCGATTGTTAAATGACGATGTTAATTTTTCTTTCTTTTTTTTTTGTTTTTTTTTTCTTTTTACATAATAACATGCAAAACTTCTTTGATAATAATGTCGACTTTTCATTAAATATATGTGCGAGGAGGAAAATCATGCTTTCTCATTTAGAAACTTTGTTCTTCGATTGCTCTTCGTATAATCACGAAACGTCCTTACTTTCGCGTTATGCCATTAACTAGTTTGAAATTGTATTAAAGCTATCGTTACGAGTAGCAACTCGCATGATTTTCCATGTATGCTTCATTAAAATGAAGAATAAACATTTCCAAACATGGTTCTGATTCTCTCTCTCTCTCTGTTTCTCTCTCTTTCTCCCTCGTTTTTAGTTTTTTATTTCTATCGAGTATCATTTCAATATTTTCCTTTTACCATGGAAATATCTATATCTGTGTTGAAAAAGAACAAGTTTTCATAATAGATATCTAAAGTTCATAGATATAAAACGTAGATTAATATTACATATCATCAGAGATCCGCGCTATTATTAAAGTTAGTTTATACATTCTACGGATAGATGGCTTTACAAGTTCTTTTATCGATCGGTGAGATCGAGCTTCGAAGACAGTGTTTGTATAATTATCTACTACTACGTCCTAATTGTGAGTACGAGTTAGAATATATGTACGTTTTAAATTTAGGGATTCAACCAAGTTAGGTCAACTTTATCAACATTATTTGTTTTTAAAATATTCTCATGTTCATATATATATATATATATATATATGTATATGAATACGTACACGATGATATTTTCTTTAGTAACATAGAAATGGAGGGATAATAGAAGAGATATGTAAAAGGAAGTTTGGCAAAGCAGACATAGATATCCTTCGCCAGAAAGCACTTCATTGTACGTACTTATATATATATATATACACATCATAGATACATATATACATATATACGTATATACATTTATTCGTCCATGTTTCTCGGTGTGTGTTAGGGTAAGATAAAACTAACAATAAGTCGTCCTTGGAAGATCCGTTAACGCGGTTAATCTTATCGATCCTCAAGAAAAATCCAACAACGTTTGTCTTTCCATCGTGCGAATAGTGAGGGGCTCAAGCGAACGGAGCCAGGGTAAGGGCACTCAAGAACAAAGTGTTGGAAAACAAAGTTAGGCAGCCGCAAATTTGTAGAGATAACACACACGGCAAGCGTACTTTTCAAACGGAATACTCCATTGGAGGATGCGTTTACCGTCGAAAGTTCGATGTTCCTCTAATACGAGAGAATATACCTACGTATTTTGCTTCCTACATTGCCGTATTTTATCTCTTTTCAAGGGAGTTCGTCGTTGCACCTAAAAAATAAAAAAAAAAAAAAAAAAAAAAAAAAAAATAAAAAAAAATAAAAAAAACAAAAAGATAAAAAATAAAAAATAACTTATTCTTGAGAACTATTTCTTATTATTTCTCTCTTAAAAACTTATTCTTTCTCTCTTTTCTAAATAATATGATTTTCTATGGAATATATTTGACAATATTTGCGTCGCACAAAAAGAAGAAAGAAAAAAGAAAAAAAAAAAAAAAAAAAAAAAAAGAAAAAGAACAGTAAAAAACGGTCGCAAAAAATTGTTTTTCTAGACTATATGATTTTTTATAGAATGTATTCAATAATATTTACTTCTCATAAAAAAAACCAACTCGTTCTCAAAGAATTACGTTTTTTTTTCTCTCTTCTTTTTTTTTTTTTTTTTTCAAACGATATAATTTTAATAGAATATATTTCATAATATTTATTATGTGTCTACTTACTTACAAAAAATATTATATATTTCTACACACTTTTATCGCTCTACACGTTAATTTCCATCTACTTAAAAAAAAAACAGCTCTTTCTCGTTTCTTTTTTTCCCCGTCGTAAAAGCCAACCACAAAATCGTTATTTCCAGAAATATTTTGCATAAGTTTCTCTGCCATATGAATGTATTCACTCGTAAGCTTTTACTTCATCCATCGTGCATTCTTGATAATAATATTAATAATAATGATAATAATAATAATAATAATAATAATAATAATAATAATAATAATGATGATGATAATGATAATAATATATAAATAAATAATGATAATAATAATCAACCATGAAGGATGGTTACATCGTAATTTTTTTTTCTTTTTTTTTTTTTTTGTTGTTTTCAATGTAAATTCGCTTAATTAAAAGCTTTTTTTTCCTTCTTTCCTCGTTAACGAGATCTTGTCTTTGTGCTTGCTTGAGCGTTTCCAAGTTCATAAATATTTCATATAAAAACGTTACTGTTGACATCATCAAATGTCATAAAAGTGAGAGAAACGATGTTAAAGTATTTGTGAGAATCGAACAAACGCGATCCTAATTATATCGGACTTATTTCTTTCTCTCTCTCTCTCTCTCTCTTTCTTTTTTATCTATTTCCCTATCTCACAAACTTATTAATAGTCGAACTTTATTCAATGAAGAAAAATCAATCGAACAGGAGAATGACATAGTTATCAATAATTCGTAAGAATGGGAATTTTCGTCAAAGGAAATCATTAGTAACTTTCTCGAAAATTATCGAGAAATAATAATGGAAATTTAGATTATCTTGATATTAATAAAATGGAAAATAAAAAAAGGATTCGAAGTTTTAATACCGGGGAACAAAAATATACGATCCAATTATTTCGCTCGATTTAGTATCATCTTACAGATATCTTCATTAAAATGTTATATTAATCGGATCATTTCATTCGGGTTAAAAGATTTACGATAAATTTAAATTTTTTATTACGTATTTCATCATTGTGTTACTTTTGAATATACATATGTACGGGTATAATAAGGTATTTTGAGGATGTAATTAATAAGATTAAGAAGAAAATCATTGTCATTAAAAGTTTCTTTCATTGACATATCGATGATATACAGGTGCAGATAAGAAACGTCCACAGAATTGCACGTGTATTAAAAGCACGTTTTATACAAAATTTCTCGCACGCATATACAATATATTTTTCTATCTATACATACATACATACATACATACATACGTACAGACATACATACATACATACATACATACATACATACATACATACATACACACACACATACATACATACATACATACATACATACATACATACATACATACATACATACATACATACATACATACATACATACATACATACATACATAGATACAACATACATACATGTATTCAAACAGACATACGAACAAACAAATATATATACATTCATACATACGTACATAAATACATATATATATATATATATATGTATATGTATATATATATATATGTATATGTATATATATATATGTATATATATATATATATATACATATACATATATATATATATATGTATATGTATATATATATATGTAATATTTATATATTTATATATTTATATATTATGTTACATTCTTGGAGATTTAACGTTCTCTTTTGAAAAATATATTTAATAAAGTTAGGAATATAATTACACGATGGATTAAAATGTACACAGTGATTTTCATTAGTGGCTATACATTTTTTCTTTTTTTCTTTTTTTCTTTTTTTCCTTTTTTTCTTTTTTCCCTTTAATAAACAAGATGAAAAATCGTTATAAACGGTAATAATCTAAGTACATCGTTTTGCGTGCGATAATTGCCAGGTTTTTTTTTTTTTGAAAGGAAAAAAAAAAAGGAAAAATAAATAAAGAAAAATAAAGAAAAGAAGATAATAACACTACGAATCCATCTTTCTCGTATTTTTCTTGACTTATTTACACGCGCCTGCCGATCGTTTTCTCTTTGATTTAAAAACTCATTACTAACGCGTTATTTATTGACGTCCCGATCGATAGATATCTCGAAATACCCACATCTCTATCTCTATGATACACTTATTTACAAAAAGTTTTCTTTTTATTTTACGTGCTCGTTTGTTTGTTTGTTTGTTTGTCTGGTTTTTTATCCATTTTTTTAATTTTTTTTCTTTCTTCTTTTTTTTTTTTCTTTACAATAATTTCCTATATTTTGATTTGTACATAGCTCTTTCTTCTCAAAATGCAAAAAAAAAAGAAAAGAAAAAAAGAAAAGAAAAGGAAGAAAAAAAAATAAAAAGAAAAAGGATTAATTGTTATTTTGTTCACTTATTTGTACACATTTATCGTGCAAGAAGCTATTTAAATATAATAAAAAAAAAAAAAAACAATAGAAGGATCGTGTTGTTAATAGAAATAAGATGTAAGGTATATTATAAATATAATAATTATTATACATTTGTATGTACATACTTATGATGGAAGGATCGAGTTGATTCTTTTGCGAGCGAAACGTCTTCAGGGGTTTTTAAGAAAATCCCGTGAGACTGCTTCAATGGGATTTAGCTTTTTTTTTTTCTTTTTTTTTTTTATTTTACCATCAAATGTAAAGGGTTAGGATTTTCCAGCTTTCTCTTTTTTCTCGGATTGAACGACCAATTGTTCGGAATCCTCGCGATTTATGCATTCCCTGATGGCTTGCAAGATCATGCCAATTCTTCGATCTAAAGCGATCAAATGGGGTTCCCATAAAACTGGTGCTACTGGATCCTTTGCCATACTTTGCTTCATGGCTGCACTCAAACGTATTGGCCCATTGTGAAACCTTTAATCGAAAGATCCATTTTTTAATCTGTTTTATACGATATCGTGTAAATAATAAGAAGATAATTAAACATTAGTATTCATTTAAAAACGAACAGTTTTATCTTTATTAATAATCGCAAAAAAACAAAAAAATTACGTATGTAACATTATATATGCAAAAGCATTTTACAAACTATATAATTAAAAAAGAGTTGAAGTGAATTCTAAATTTTCTTTGTTTTTTTCCTTTTTCTCTTTCTTTTTCCTTTTTCTCTTTCTTTTTCCTTTTTCTCTTTTTTTTTTCTTTTTTTTTTTAAATCGAAATAATCGTAAAGAATACTTGTAACGGTCATTAATTAAAAAAATGTCTTAGAAGAGATAAACGTAATTTTATCTTATCAATCGCTAATATGTTAAAATAAATCGAGAACGGACCGGAACGGATCGGAACGATGACCGTTTACGATACGATCTGCTCGCTAAACACAGTATCCCTTTTGACAGTAGAATAAAGTGCTCGCAACGAAGTAGTCGCAGGAAGCGATTATCCTATAATATCGTATTTAATGGACACCGTGTGGGTTTCTTTAACAAGTAGCACAATTTCATTCGAAGCGCTACTTAGAAGGAAGCAAGCCTAATTATATTTAATTCGTATCTATCACGTTGGAACGTAACTCGGATCGATCGAATTTCGCGATAACGTATAGGCATAAGAGAATTTTTCCTTTGTTTAATTATATTTCATTAAAAAGAAAACAAAAAAAGAAAAAAAAAAAAGAAAAAAAAAAAGAAAAAAAAAATCTCGATAACGTATCACGAAACGATATTCTATCTTCTTCCCTTTTCTTTTTTTTTCTTTCTTCTTTTATCCCCCTTTAACTTCTTTTTTTCTTTTTCTTTTCTTTTCTTTTTTTTTTTTTTTTTTTAAACAACCTTTTTTTTAACCCTGACGCAAAGACTCGTAAAAAAGTCAGGATCGCTTAGAGAAAGGCCCGTCCGAGAGAAAATCCCGAGGGAACGAGACTACTACTTTTGCCGCGAATTTATCGTGCTCGTATTTTTCGGGGTTTTCGTCGGGACGGACGCGAAAAATGCGCTGCGACGTCTCGTTCCGCGTAACGTATTTTGCCGATCGAAGAGAGGAGAGAGAGAAAGAGAGAGAGAGAGAGAGAGAGAGAGAGAGAGAGAGAGAGAGAGAGAGAGAGAGAGAGAGAGAGAGAGAGAGATTCACGAGTGTCCGAGCAATTTCGATAAAACGCGTATCGTACAATCCTCGTTATATGATCTAGTTAGAAATTCGACGACTTACTTTAATAGGATACCCAATGTGCTCTGTCTGATCATGCAGCATTGTAATATGGGTGCTAGAATAGAGGTCTCATCATGAAAAGGTTTCCCAAAGCCACGGCCATGATCGACATGGAGGGTGAAAGTGTCATTTCCGAATATCTTGAAGGTCTCGTAGTGATGTCGGTCCATATTTCCTGTGAGAAAGTCGAAGACCGACATGTCCATCAGATCGAGAAGTCTTCGTCCTTCGTCGTACGGAGGAATCTCTTTCACCAGCGAACAGTATTGTGAATCTGTAAGATCGTTTTATTTTTCTCTGTTCTTTTTTCTTTTTCTTTTTTTTTTTTTAACGGGAGAAGGAGAGAAAGAGAGAAAGAGAAAGATAGTGCATAATACCATGCTCCCACTGAGCTTTCCTCCGTTTGTGATAACTTCTTCTCCAGGGATGTCTCCAAGCCTTTCTCGTTGCAAATGATTTGTTCGGTAGAAAAGCCGCGAAACTACCCTCTAAGGTGTCCGGATTTCCGCAAACCGCGTGTGCCGTGTCACAGTAGTAACTGCATTTTCCGTGAAAACAAAGGTTACCTGCAGGACTAACGAAGAACGTTTTGAGTAGTTCGCCATCGGCTATGTTGTAAATCTCTGTTGTTATATTTAACGTTCTTCCAGTCACCGGCATCGCCCGTCGAAAACCCAACAATCTAGAAACAGTTAAAAAAATGTTTGCTAACGTATTAAGTCATGAGCAGATATATATATAATAATAATAATAATAATAATAATAATAATAATAATAATAATAATAATAATAGAATTTTTTTTCTTTTCTTTTTTTTTGTGACTATTAGTGATCATTTTCGGAAAAGATTAGATAGACAGCAATTATTTTTATACTTTCTGCCTGAAATCCATAGAAATTCAATGAATTACAATTATTACAGTTATAACATTATTTGAAATAATTATTGTTCAAATAATTTTTATTAATTATTTTCATTAATTATTTTTATTGATTATTTTTATTGACTTTTTATAATAAAGCGTAATAGCAAAAAGGATTTTTCAGTTTTACCTGTCGAGATGGAAAGATGCAATCTCCGCCGTATGTCTTTCGAAATCGGTGAAATAGAAATGATTTGGTAGAGTTTGTTGCTCTCGTGGAAATCTAAAAGAAAATGAAACCGAGTGAGACAGTATTGAACTTTCACAATCATTAACGAATACAAACTATTTATCGGTAATGTACGTATACAAACGAAATTCACGAAAGCGCGATGCATTACTATCGACTACATTGTACCTCGGCTACATTCGTTCTAATTTGCTTGATCTAAACGTTTAATTAAATATATATTGATCGATCCTGTTAATTAAATCGAAATGTACCTATAATTAACGCGGATACGTTGTCCTATGAAATAGTACGATTACGCGTAATATTGTTTCTTCTTTCTTTTTTATTTTCGATTTTTTCCTTCTCTTTCTTTTTTTCTTTTTCTTTTTTTTTTTTTTTTTTTTGTTTCTGTTTACTTTTTCGCTTCGAAAACGTAATTTTCCGAGACAATTCGTGAAAGAGTTAAAATTTGTTATACTTGTCATAGAAAACGGAGCAGAGAGAAAGAAAGAAAGAAAGAAAGAAAGAAAGAAATAAAAGTCGATATCGCGATATCGCGAATGAAAATCCGTAGTTCGTATGCCCGGTTCTGAAGTAAGGGATGT